GCTTTCGGTCGGCCAACTGAAGGAGAGCAGCGTGAAGTTGTAGGACGACGGCGACGGGATGATGCTAGTTTCAACGGCGGGGGACGTGCTTGGTCGGGCGACGTACACCGGCCGGGTCCTCTGCACCGACTTGCGCCCGTGCTCCGAGAAGCCGGCGTCGGCGCCGACTTAGGTGGTGGCTCTGCGGGCGATAGTCTCGGCTACGAAGTCGACGCCAGCCAGGTGGCACGCCAGGCTTGCGCATGTCGGTGTCGACACCATCACGAGCTCGGTGAAGTACAAGGTCGCCACCGGCCTTGACATTAAGCCGTCGGCCGGCACCGACTCTCTGTGTGTCGCATCCGTCAGTAGGAAGCTGGCGCGGCACACCTTCCCCGACAAGGGCTCGGACGCCGAGGACGCTCTGGCTGTTGTGCACATCGACCTGTGCAGGCCGTTTCGGGTGGCTGCCAAGGATGGCAGCTTGCAGTTGAAGGACCGCAAGACTCGCTACGTGTGGGTGAGGCCGGTCGCCAAGAAGTCGGACGTGCTGCGGGAGTTTGAGCAGTGGCTGGTGACGTATAGTTGAGTGGCAGGCAAAGAAGTCGGTGTTGATGATGTGCTCTGACCAAGGAGGGGAGTTCCTTGGGAAGGATTTCACCGCCTTCGAGGACGGCAAGGGGATCGTCCACGACTTGACCTGCCCGTACACCCCGCAGCAAAACGGCATGGAGGAGTGGGAGATGCGAACGGTGGTGGAGTAGGTGTCGACCATGCTTCTGCACATGGGCGTCTTGGGCACCACCGGTGGCACCTCGCCCTGCGACAGGCCGTCTGGGTCCGCAACTGCCTTGAGAGGTCGTCGCTGCCGCCGGGGACGACGCCGTACCAGCCGCTCACTGGGACGAAGCCCGACTTGTCGCTGGCACGCGTGTGGGGCTGCATGGCGCAGTTCCTGGTCCCCGAGCAGCAGTGTGGTGGCAAGCTACAACCGAAGGCCCGGTTGGGCCTTCACCTCGGTGTGTCGAAGGAGAGCAAGGGTTGGGAGCTCCTCGACATCATCGACAACAATTTGGTCACCACGTCGGACGTGGTATTCTACGAGACGCTGTCGCTGGAGGTGTGGAAGTCGCAGCACTGGCCGATGTCGGGGCGAACGCGGGCCAACCCGCCGATGGATACCTCCACGGCGACCCTCCCTCTACTCGCCGAGGTCGGTGAGCTTGCTGATGAGGACGCCGACCGAGGAATTGCTTTCTCCTCCCCCTACCCATTCCATTCCACCTCTCATAGCCGATCTGCATGCGCCGACGTTGCCGTCGGCCTTCGGCGAGGGGAGCAGTGGGGCGCCGCCTGTGCCGCCGGCCAAGGGCATCGCCGGTGGCCGACGTGGCATCAAGCAAGTCGGCGTGGAAGCAGAGCCGACGAAGGTAGGGGAGCAGCAGGCCAAGGAGCCAACGCCGACAAAGGCAAAGGAGGCGTCTGCAGGGAAGCCACCGACAGGGGAGCAGCGGATGGTGAAGCCAACGGGGGAGCCGCCGGCAACAGAGGTGCCGGCCGGGGAGCCGACAACAGGGGGAGAGTCGGCTGGGACGCCAGCTTTGGTGCAGCAGGACGCCGAAGACAATGAAGTTGGCGAAGCTGAAGGGGAGCAGTCGGACGCCGGAAAGTCCACTGACACCGAAGTGGTGGAGGTCCCGATCGAGAAGCCGGAACTGCGGCATTCAGGCCGAGTTAGGAGGCCGCTGGAGCGGCTCACCTACCATGTCTGTCTCCCGCTGGCCGCCTTCACCACAGTGTACGACGACGTCGAGGATGACGCGTTGTCCGACAACGCCGAGGACGACGTTGACCTGCCCGAGCTGGACCACGATGTGCACGCCGACCCCGAGCACTTGCTGGGACATCGCGATGATGACGGTGAAGGAGGCGTTGGCGAGCTGGAAGGGCAAGGCGGTGAAGGCCGCCATGGACGACAGATCTGCAGTCTCATCGGCATGGGCACCTGGGAGCTGGTCGAACGCCCACGCGGGGTGAACATCATGAAGAACCGGTGGGTGCTGATGACCAAGTACCACGTCGACGACACGGCAAGGCTAGTCGTGACGGGCTTCACGGAGGTGAATGGCGCTGACTACGACGAGACGTACGCGCCGGTGAGCAGCTACGTCATGCTGAGGATCTTCCTCAGCATCGTCACCGTCCTCGACCTGAACCTGATGCAGCTCGACATGAAGAACGCCTTCCTACAAAGTAAGCTTGACCGGGTGTTGTACATCTACCAGCCTGACTACTACAACGATGGGACCGGCCGGGTGTGCAAGCTGCTGAAGAGCCTGTATGGGCTGAAGCAGTCGCCGCTGCTGTGGTACCGGGCACTCAACGTCGTGGTGATGGTGTTAGAATCCCAGCCACTAACCACTGGGATAAAAGGGCTTGTTTATATAGCGGGTGAGTGCGCCCATAACCCCCCAGGCCGACGTGCCTGTAACCCTTCCCTAGGATCATCGGGGATCCCCAGTGGACCTCTGACACCCCCCCGCACTGGGATGCCCGAAGTGCACACACCGGGAATCGAACCCGAGACCTTCGCTCTGATACCATGTCAGAATCCCAACCACTAACCATTGGGATAAAAGGGCTTGTTTGTGTAGCGGGTGAGTGCGCCCATAACCCCCCAGGCCGACGTGCCTGTAACCCTTCCCTAGGATCATCGGGGATCCCCAGTGGACCTCTGACAGATGGGCGCCGGATGGAAGAAGAGTCAGGTCGACGAGGCGTTGTACTTCAAGGTCGGCGACGACGGAGTGGCCTGCTGGGTGCTGGTCTACGTCGACGACCTGCTCGCCGCTAGCAGCAGCACCGCGATGCTGAAGGAGCTGAAGGAGCTGCTAGAGGCCGCCTTCGAGCTGCGCGAGATCTCGCCGGTGGAGAAGTACCTCGAGCTGGAGATCGTGCGCGACAGGCCGGCGAGGAAGCTGTGGCTGCACCAACAGAACTACGCCGACAAGTTGTGCAGGCGGTTCATCGACGAGGAGCGGACCGGGCCGCACCCCGAAGACGCAGGTCTCCGTCGACGCCTACGCCGAGCTTGCATTCAACGACGAGGAGGCACAGGAGCGCCAGGAGGAGGAGTACTGGCAGAAGGTCAGCTCACTACAGTTCGCGGCGACGACGACGAGGCTGGACATCGCCTTCGCCTGCAGCAAGCCAGGCGGCGGCCTGACGGTAAGAAGTGACCAACACTGGCGCGAGGTCGACCGCTGCCTCGCCTACCTCGCCAATACTCGTTACACCGCCCTTGAGTTCTGCGGTGGACCTGATACGCTGGAGCTGGTCGGCTACGTGGACGCCGACGACGCCGGTGACAAGCAGAACCGGACGAGCACAGCCAGCTACGTGTTCGTCTACGGAGGGGCCGCGACCTCCTGGTCAAGCCAACGCATCAAGTGCGTGACGTTGTCGTCGAATGAGTCGGAGTACGTGGCGGCCACCGAGGCTAGCAAGGAGGAACGCCTCCTTCGCTTCCTTCTTGTAGAGTTCAGGATGCTGGACGCCGGGGCGCCGACAGTCCTTCATGTGGACAACAAGTCGGCCATCACAGTCGCCGAGGGCTTGGGGCTGCAGGGCAACCTCAAGCACATGGAGTGGAGATACACCTGGCTGCAACACATGGTGAAGCGCGAGCAGTTCACGCTGAAGTGCATCCCGACCACCGAGCAGCCGACGATCGGGCTGAGTGAAGCGCAACGCTTTAATGGAAGCAATTACAACGTGTGGCGGAAGAAGTTCATTCGACGTGCAGATGAGGTTGGAATCCTAACGTTCTACTGTCCCGACGAAGAGACGAAGGAAGGAGTTGCACCTTCTAAGACAGATCCGCCGGAAAATGTGGCGTTGTTTAAGAAGCAAAATAAGAAGGCGTTCTTTCAACTTTGCGATTCGGTTGCTGATTCTATTGCGGTGGATTTGGACCAATTTGCAGGGGAGTTAAACTCGGCTCAACGAGCGTGGGAGTACTTGGAGTCCACCTACATGGGCACCAATGATACTAGCAGAAAGGCCGTGAGGAAGCATCTGATCATGTTGAGCATGGAGAAGGGCGAGAACATCACCACCTACATCAACAGGGCGAAGAGCTACAACGACGACCTACGGGTGATGGGAGCCGCGGAGTCGGAACAAGCAATGATCGACTACATCGTTGAAGGACTTCCTAAGGAGTACGAAGCGGACATCGGCATGAAGCTGCAGGAGGCTCTTCAATCTCTTGAGACAATGAAGGAGATAAGAAAGAAGAAGGCGACTAGGGAAGATGTCGGTGCCGACCAACCCTAGTAGGGCGCACTGTCGCCGATTGTCTTCCGACGTACGTCGGCGGGCGCGTTTGACGAAGCACGTCGACATGGCAGCGTTTGCTTACCAGCCATGTTCTCATCCCTCGTGCTCACTCGTGCGCTCAGGTTCGCTTGGTTTGACATTGGGCGGGACGACCTGCGGTTGTGGGTGCTCGGGATCGGCCCGCTTCGATCGGCCATGAAAGCCGCCGACCATTCTTGCTTTGCTAAGGCTTTCGACGCCGACATCGCCGCTATCCCGCTGAAATCGACGTGAGCTGTTACCCCGTTGTCCAGTCATCGTTTTTCAGTGTCGGCCGCATCAACGCCTTATGCTGTGGTCGACGCCGTCGTTTATTGCGTGTGCAGCGGCGGCCCGCTTCCAGGGTCACACTGCAGCGTCATAGCCATCCTCTACCCAGGAGATGTGCTGAAGGCTGAGGGACAGGTCTGCAGGACATCGATCCGGCACATCGACCCGCACACCGGAAAAGGGAAGCACCGCGACGAGGCCGTCCGCGTCCTGAAGTAAGTTGTGAATAGTCGTCGCTGTCGAGTTTGTTAGTCGCCGACACAGGGAATCTCATGCTGACCTCCTCTCCACTACGTTGCTCCAGGCTATTCCGCACGGCTGCCCTGGCCGAGCTGGGGCGTCCCGGTAGGAAGTGGGACGGGGCGCCGCCATCACAAGCAGTGGTGGAGGAAAGGCTTGCCGACTGCGACGAAAGCCGCGATCCCGTCGGCAAGTCTCCCGTCCGCCCCCCCGCTTCCGCTTCCCTTGCTGGTCGACCCTCCCCTCACCTTCCACCCCTTCGCCTTCAGCATGTCGACCACGCTCCGCGCAGGAGGCTTCGTGACGCGGCTCCCGTCCGATCCCTTGCTCCGCTTCGAGCTCTCCTTGTCGTCACCGTCGCCCGACCTCTTCAGGCCTTGCTTGTCGGCCGCCCTCTGTTGCGCGGCGTCGGCGTCATTGGCCGAAGGCGACGACCCACGTCGACCAGGCGCCACCGTGCCGATCATCTCGGTCAACATCTTCATCCCGGACGCAACGAACGACTGCTCGGTGGCCTCCGTCACCGTCTTCATGATGTCGGCCTTGAACGACTTCAAGAGCTCTTCCGGGAGGGCGGGCGGCGTGGGCTGAGGCGGTGGCGGCGGCTGCACGGGGAGCCTGCCGGTCACAGCTGTGGCGATGTTGACAGCTGCGGCGGACAACTGGCTCGTGATGTGCTCCCGCAAATCCTCCTGCGCATCGCCCACCACCTTGTCGACGTGGTCGGCCAAGGTGGTGACCGCTAAGGCGCGTTGATACGCCACATTTCCCTCCGGGTTGTCGAAGTCCTCCAGCCACGCCGACGCCTGTTCCGCGAAGGTCTTCATCGTCTTCCACGCCTCGTCGAAGCTGCCGGTGATGTTGCCCGTGATGGTCTGCGACATGGCCTCCGCCGCGTTTCGCAGCTGTTCCGCCGCATACTTCTCGGTGTCGTCGACCTGCTCGGCCAACTCCTTCAGGTGGTCGACGAGTCCACGTAGCCCAACAAAAAACGCGTCCAGCCGAGCCCGTTCCGCATCGAGCAAACCCTGCAGCCGAGCGTTCTCCGCCCTCAACAGCAAGTTCTCCCGTCGCAGCTCCTCGACGTCGTCCGTTGCAGGGCCCTGCCGACCAGATGCGTCCCCCGTCTCCTGCACGCCCGCGATGTTCGCACCTTCGCCGGCGTCGACCGACACCTTCGCACCTTCGCATGCCGCCTCCTCCTGGCCCGTTTCCGTCGTTGCCTCCACGCCGACCTCATCCTTTTCCTTCCCCTCACCTGCCGACCCCGTAGCATTACCCGCATCGCCATCCTCCGCTTCCTCGTTCTTCTCGTCCGCCGACCCCACCGCCTCAACCGTGCCGTCTGCGTACTCCAGCTCGTACTCCACCTCCTCCTCCACCCCTTCCTCGTGCGCCGCCTCATCCTTCCCGGCCACCACCTCCACCACCTCATCGTTCTCGTCCTTGCCCTCGTCATCCTCCTCGTCCTCATTCTCCTTCTCCCCTTCGTCCTCCTCCTCCCCCTCCGACTCCGACTCTGAGCCAGAGTCCGTCAACTCCTCTTCCTTCCTCCCTGCGCCTGCCGCATCGTCGCCTAGTCCTCCACCGGTTCCTCCTTCCGCGGACACCGGCAAGTCCTCCTGGCGCTGGGCGGCAGCTGCTGCTTGGGGCGCCGTCTGACTTTCCGCGCCGTCGTCATCAATCGCACCCTCGGCGGGTCCGTCGGCGCCTGAAGTCGGCGCCGCTATCCGGTTTTCGGCGACACGATGGCAGATGTAATCGACCATGCTATCACGGAGCGACCTCAAACCCGCGACCTTGATGTTCTCGATGCTCACAGCGCTCCGAGCCTTGTCGCCCGTCAGCAGGCCGATCTGCTTGGCCACCCACCCGAACGACGTCGCGGCAAGCATGCCGGTGCCGACATGCCCGTCCGACACTGTGCCCGGCACTTTCTGCATACAACACAGGCAAGCGCAGACCCATCCTCAGGCGAGCGGTGGGAAGGACGCGGCCCCCACTGCCCAGGCGGCGAAAGTCGGAGGCGCCGGAACCACCCAGGGGCCGTCTGACGCGGTGCCGGCCAAGGGCAAGGCGATGTCTGCGTCTGCTACGGTCGCCGGAACCGGCACGGCGAAGGCTGCCTCTGCTTCAGTCCCCGGAACCGGCAAGTCGAAGGCTGCTTCTGCTACGGTCGCCGGAACCACCAAGTCGAAGGCTGCTTCTGGTACGGTCGCCGGAACCACCAAGTCGACACCATGTAACCCGCCTGCGGCAACCACCGGGCCCGCCGGCCAGTCAGGTGCGGGGAAGCATGGGGAGGCCCGTGCGGCCCCTCCAGCTCCAGCAGCCCCTACTGCCGCCAAGGTCGACGCGAAGGCTGCTTCGGCACAGGGGCCACCCGGGAGTAACGCGCTTAGGGTGTTGCTCCACCGCATGGAGTCCCACCGCCCGGGCGCGCAGCAGCATCCTGTGGTCGACGCCGGCCTCGCAGAAACAACACTTCGCTCCGTCACTCCGCACGTTGCCGGCAAACCGTCCGATGCCCAATCTGCCGCGCGGCCGGTCGCCGCCCCACCGCCTGCGGACCCCAAGTCCGCGTTTCTTCGCGCCCATATAGGCGCACGCAAAGCGGCAGCTCCACCAGTCACTCAGCCGGAACCCGGCACAAGCGCGACGCCGACGGCTGTAAATGCGACCGCACCCTCCCCAGGAGCAGCTGTGGTCGATCTGGCGGCGGAGAGGGGAGTCAGTGCAGCGCTAGCCACCGGCGGCCGCGCCGACAGGCATGCCGCCCTCGAATCCGTCCTGGCCCAGTTTGAGGCAGCAAAACGGCCCGAGCATGCCCCGGCACTGGCCATCGTGGACACGGCGCATGCGGAGCCGTCGGCGACCAACACAGGGGGTTCGGCGGAGCCGACGGCCGCAACGGGTGTTGTCGCCGAGGAAAATGGGGGACGGAAGGGTAAGGACGACATCGGGAAAGGGAAGGCGGTGTCGGCGGGGAAGGAGATGGCGGAAGACAAAGGGAAGAAGCCGGCACGGAAGACGGGCGGCAAGGGTAAGTCGGCAAAGAAGAAGGAGGAGGAGGAGAAGGAGGAGGAGGAGGAGGAGGAGGTGGGGGAGGGGGAAGAGCATTGACGCCGGGGTCATGGCATCCGCCGAGACAGGTCTGGCGACGGGCAGGGGTGGGTGGGCGAGATGAAGTTCAAGAACCAGAATCGGTACATCGGCAAGTCCCGCGACAAGATGGAGCTGGCCTACGAGCACGCGATTGCGTACTTCGTCTACGACGGCTACGTGAGCAAGGTGCTCATGAAGGAGCTCACCGCCTTGAAGCCGGGAGAGTTGGATGAATGGAAGGCGGTGTGGGAGGAGGTCAAAATCCTGCCGACCGGGATGTGGACGGTGATGTGGGCCAGAGGCTTGTGCCATCCGAGACCAAGGTAAGTCGGTTACCGACATGCCGTGTTTTGACGACCAAGTCGGTGTCATTAATTCTATGTGTACGTGTTCGCTCGGCAGGTTCGACGACATACTCGGCAGGTTCCGTGGGTACGCAGGTTCGGGTGATGCGCTTCATGGCGTGCTCTGGCCGGCGATGTGGTTCCCCATCATCGAGGACACGGAGGAAGGCAGGGCGGAGACAAATGCCAACATGTCGGCGATGGTGAATCGCGTGTCGATGTGCGCGGCGTATGGAAAGGTCGCGGCGAGAGTCGCGTATGGGAAGGTCGACGGGAGCGCGGAGGCGACCGCGGGAGAGACGACGGATATGGAAGGCGCGGACAGGAAGGCGGACGAGAAGGTGCAGATGGGGGCCCAGGCGTTAGCGGCCTCTGCATGCGCCCTCTGGTGCTACATGTCGACGCCGGCGTCGGTGCTCGGTGCTGTGGGCGAAGGTAAGGCGGCCGCGATTCTGGCAGGTGCGGGGAAGGAGAGGGGCGAGCACTTCGCGATGGTCATGCACGTGGTTATCGAACACGCACGCACTCGGCAGGCTCCCGCGGGGGAGGTTGCACATAACGTCGCGCCAGAGCTGCAGCGCTATGGAGTGGCCAGGGCCTTCGAGGCGGGCATTGAGGAAGACGAGGCCGACATGATCGCAAGAGCGACGGTCGAGACCTTGGCGTTCTGGGGAATGTGCCCCCTCGACGGGCCCAAGCTCAAAGCGGAGGGCATCGATGTGCCGTGTGACGCGAAGATGGAGTACGACTTGGATCACAGGGGGAGGAAGGGGGAGAAGGTCAAGCAGGCCAAGGGCAGCAAGAGGAAGAGGTAGTACGGATGCGTAGTCGGCGGAATGATGTTTGCTAGGTTGCTAGGGTGTGTACTATATTGGTATGGACGGCGCCGATTTTGGCGTAGATTTGTTAAATGTGGCCTTTTTTTGTTCAAGTGCTGTTCGTTTCAATATTGGGCTAACAACTCGGTGTCACTGTATAACCATGCTAGCCGAATATCACCCGATGAGCCAAGTCGGCGCATATGTCGACATGATATGCACATGATACGTCGGCGATAAGCAGTGCAGAAACATGGTTGTCGGCATGACGTCGACAGTGATTTTTAGCCACACCTACTGTACTGGGCGACAAACAACCAACATCGGCAACATTCACCGACAACTACGGTTCGCATGGACATTGATGTGGGATGTTTACAAACTACCAGAAACATCAGTCGGATGGGGCGGGGGGGGGGGGGGGGGGGGGGGGGGGGGGGGGGGCTGTTTAAGTCTGCCAAAATCTACGCAGACGCATATCCCATGAGGGACTTCATGCCGTCTTCTTGCGCTTGGTCGGAGGACGCTGCACGGGTGCGGTCGGCTTGGCCGGTGCTGTCGACTTGGCAGGTGCGGTCGGCTTCGCCAGGTCGGCCTTGGTCTTCGGCATCTGCTCCTCCCAGGTGTCTGGAAAGAGGGCTTCGAGCCAATCGGCCGGCTTCAGATTGAGCGCGACAAGCCCACAGGCGAGGCGAAGCTTAGAGACGACCTTGGGGCCCAGCCCCTTGACTCCCATGCCAGGCTCTTTCGACTTCATCGGTTCCGTTTTCGGGTTGAGCACCGTGAGGGCGTCACAGAAGGTCCCAATGCCCGGTGCCGCGATCCTGTTCAGTGCGTCGACCACGGCCTCGGTGTCGGCGTCGCCGTCGCTCGCGCGTAGCTGGCGCACCGCATCCATGGCCCTCATCATGCGTCGCACTTTCGTGTCGAGCCCACCCTGCGTCGCGCCCTTTCCTGTGAGGAGGGTGTGGCGGGCGACGAATCCCTTCTCGGCGACCCTGTCGCAAAGGCGACGGGTGTCATTGGCGGTGGCGGAATTCCATAGGCGCCAAGCGTCCCTCACAGTCTTTGCCTCCCGCCACGGTTGCACCACGTTGAGCTCGTAACTGGCCTCCTCGTCCGTCTGTGGGGGGGGCGGGGGTTTGTCATCCCCTTTCTTGGCTCCAGCCCCCGTGCTGGCCGACTCCGCCGATCCACCATCGCTGGGAGTCTGCGCGGGAGCCGACGGCGGGGCCACCGGCACTCTCCGTGCTTCCGACAAGCGGAGTGCCTCGGTGACACGGGCTAGCTCGGCGGTGAGCCCAGCGATGGTGTCGTCGCGCTTCTCGATCTCCTCTAGGAGATCAATCTTCTCGTTCGCGGCGCGCTCTTTCTCCTTCTGCATCTGGGCCATGAGGGACATGTTGTAGTACTCGGTGTCCATGCGCACCGAGATTTCCTGCAGCAGTAGGAGGAGGAAAACGTGAGGGCCGCGGTGGTTTGGTTTACACTCCCTACTGCACGTCGGCGACAGTATCGTCGACTTACCTCTGGCTGTATTTGGGTCGGGTCGCGACGCTTGTTGATCGTCTCGGTGTCGACGCTCTCCACCCGTTTCGCCCAGTGCTGGAAGAGGGGGATCCGGCAGAGCTTGGAACCTTGGACGTACGGGTGCCATGGTGTGCGGACTAGCTTCACCGCTAGGTCCTCGGCGACGATGCGGCGCAGCATCAGGAGAGTGCGCCAGAAGTGCACCGCGGCTTTGTCGGCGTCTGACCCCTCGACAGCCTTCCCTTCCGCCTGCCATTTGTCACGGGTACGGGGAGCTCAGAAAAGGTCGGCAACACGACTCGGCGGCAAGCTACGAGGGCGTCGACTAACATACCTCCTTCAGCATGTCGTCGACGCCGGGGAATATGTGCTCGGCGAGGAGCTTCAGGAGCTTCTCGGAGGGCGGCACCCTGCTCCGACCCAAGAAGTAGTCCTGCTTGTACCCCGAATCACCACCCCCACCGGAATGGCGGTGATGTACGCTCGCGTCATCTTGTCGAGAGCCCAGTGTCCAAGCTCCGCGATCTCGGCGCGCGGCGTGCCGTCGATAGCCAGCTCCTGGGCCCCGCCCGCTCGAGCGGCGTGCACGTTCCTCTTGCAGAACACCTTGTTGGTGTCCCACAACTGCCGCGTCCAGCGTTGGTGGGTTGCCGCAGAGAGCTCACCCTGGTCGGTGTCGTTTTTGGCGAAGAACAGGTGCTTCTTGTACCAGCTAGCGCGTGTGCTGGTGTCGACCGGCGGAATGAGGCGGACGCCGTGAAACTGACCGATCTGATCGAGGACGAAGTGCAACCACAGGCCCGTCTCGCCGACGGCGCACAACTCCGCTTCGAGGTGCCGCGCGGCGTAGCTCTGCTGCAGACGAGCATCCTTGGACGTCTTCGAGTTCCGCGCTCCGATGACCATGACGACCGGCTGGTTCTCCGGGTTGATCGAGGAGGTGCTCGCCAGTCGGTACAAGAAGATGTCGGGGAGAGTGATCTCGCGGATGCTTGCACCGCGCAGGAGAGAGTGGTGGGAGAGTAGCGTGAGCACCTTCAAGAGAAGAAACCTCCACAGCGTCTGCGAAGGACCCGTACCCCGCGGGTTCCACGCCTTGGCCGCCCACGCCGGCAGCACCCTGAACATGATCTGGCGGAACTGTTCGGCGGTGTAGGTATCGCCGATGGTTCCGCGACGGCGATCGGCGCAGTTCCTGCCAACAATGCCATGGGCAAGGGGTATTTAGGGCGGCGTCGACAAAGATCATGACAGCAGGAGAGTGGTCGACGTAGGTTAAAACATAAACTCACTTGATGTCCCGCTCGTTCTTGGTGCGGATCATGTACCGCACCTCCGACCTGACCACCGATATCTCCCTCATGATGCTCAGTTCCGTCTCCCGGAAGAGCGTCGCCTCCACTCTCGCCGCCATCTGGCATGCCTTTATGCGCCCGAGGAGCGTGTGTACCGTTGTCGACTGCACCGGCTGTGTTCCTGTGGCGTTGTCGGCCCCCTTGCCGGACTCGGCATCGAGGTTCAACTCCCGAATCATGTACTTCACGTATGCGCGAAGCCGGATGTAGTGCCCTATCTCGTCGACGTGCTTAAGCCTGTACTCCTGCGGAAGCTTGTTGCGAATTTGCTTCAACATCTTCGCCGCCCACCTCTTGTAGTGATAGATCCACGAGGTGTACTGCCTCAGCGTGCTGTTCCTCTCCACGGTTTGCAGGTGGCGAAGAGCGTCCATGACGAGCACGTCTACGCACGCGTAAACCATGTCCTCCTCGACGAAGTCTGCCGCTCTCCACTGTTCGCGCGGCACCGCCAAGTTCTCCTGGTCCTCGTCCTCGTCCTGGTCGAGCAGTATGTCGATGAATTGCAGTTCCCGCCTGAGTCGTTCGTCCAAGGTGCGCGGATTAGAGCTACGAGGTGGACGGTCGTCGTTTTCGTCATCGCTTTCCTCCTCCTCCTCCTCCTCCTCCTCCTCCTCCTCCTCCTCCTCCTCCTCCTCCTCCTCCTCCTCCTCCTCCCTCCCCCCCTCCTCCTCCGCGTCCTCGTCATCGACCTGGTTTCCAGGGGCGGCCGGTGCCGACGAGGTACCTGGCCGACCATTTTGCGTAGGAGTCTGTTTTTTCTTCTTGTTGAACTTCCCTATCGGCGGTGGCGGAACGTCCGTGGTGAACACCCCTTCTGGGATCTGCGTCAGCTTGTCCAGATCGTAGAGTAACTGCAGGTTGTCTTCGTCGGTAGGTGTCGGACTGTGGTCGGTGGATGTCGGACTGCGGTCGGTGGTCGTCGGACCCTGGTCGGTGGATGGCCTAGCGTCGGACATGTCGACGTCGGCCATGTCGGTACACGTCTGCTGCTCTACCGTCGTCCGTGTGCGTTGGGGAGGTTGTTAAACCACTGCCGGTACTGAGTCACGGGTGCGGTGTACGCCCGAACAGTTGCGCGGCGGTCGTCCTCGAGATGTCCCTCAATAACGTCTATCTCGGCGTCGACCTCGAGATCGCGGGGGGTGGTAAACCAGAGACGGTACTGTGTGACGGGTGCGGCGAACGCGCGAAGCGTCAGGCGGTCTTCGTCTTCTTCGAATTCTCGCTCAAGCGCGTCTAACTCGGCTTCGAGTTCAAGCTGTTCCAGCTGCGCCTTGATGTCGGCGTCTACCGAGTCGGCGGGGGGTGGGATGGGTTGCGGCTGTTGGGCCCTCGGGCGACCTCTGGCCATGCGTCGCCGACTTGCTACGTCGACTCGCGACGTGGAACCTGTGCCGACTTGGACGAACAATCGGCTGTCGAGCAACCTACAGGCGCGATGACAGACTGGCAGCTGAAAATTCTAAGGGAACGAGAGAGCAGGAAGGAACGCAGGAACGGACAAGCGAATGAGCAGGCTCGCGGGGCAACGGACGGGTATGGTCCTGAGCGACTACGATGCTGCCGCGCGTCACGCACACCCCAATGCATCCGCCGCCGTGCATGTGTTCTCGTAAAGGCGGCGCACTGTCCGACGTGGCACGTGCCAGGCATGGCTAGCTGGGCGCCGCGCTGCACGGAAGGGGCGTAAGCCAGTGCCATTCCACGTCGGAATGGGCGTGCGTTACGTGGCTTGCGACCGCCATTGGCGCCCCAGTGCAGAAATTGTGGCAAGCAGACAGATGACTCAAGCACGGCGTGGCAACCATGCCGTGGGGGGCCTATGATCGGCGCCGACTTCCACTCGGCGCGCTTGGCAGAGAACGTGCCGTGTGGCCGGGTTTGTGTGCCTTGGGATGATCTGGTCGACACCGACTTCCCTGGCAACCCGCGATGCCACAAGACAGTGAAGATGTGGACGGTCCGATTTGCGCCGCGTGGGTTTGCACCGCTAGAGCGACGCGTGGCCACGACGCCCACGTCGTGGCAGCCTTGTAATCGGTGGGGCGGGTCTCGCACCTCCCTATTGGTCCGCGTGGAGGCATCCGCGGCTCGACGTGGCGAATTTTGTCCGCTGAGATTTCCTTCTCAGGAATCTCCCAGCGCAAACGGGTGTCGTCGGATTGTCGACAATCCCGAGGGCTCCCGAGGCCCCTGGGACGCCATTTGGGCCCGTCTGGGAGCTCGGAGGTCGTCGGGAGGTCGTCAATCCCGAGGGGGGCGTTGTCCCTTTTGAACCGCGAAATTGGGCGGCATTTTTCGTCCGCTGAGGTATATCATCCCATACTACTTGCTTCAGCATCACGCACGCGCAATTCGCGCTTCGCAACACTGCACCAAATAGGTTAGCTCTTAGTAACGTGCGCCTAGCTGAGATCATGACCGTCAAAACCATAGATTTCCCAGTGGATTGGGATTTTGTGGTTAGATTAGCGTAAGATCTCCCTTAGGTTGGGGCTTTTATGCAGAGTGCTCAACATTTGGTAGTCTTGATTTCAAGTGCTGACTTGGCCCCAACACGGACGCATATAGTGTCAGGGTTCGCCCTCGGACCGGAATTTCAAGGGCAACTGTTGGGGCACCTCGCCCTTACAATTTCTAGGCCCAGACCTCGCGACAGCCCTGGTCGAGAGTTTCACTTTTTTCTGATGAGCGCGGGGGAGCATCATGTGGAGGGTTGGCCTCCCGCGCGCGTGATTCACGTGCTGCGCGAGGAGGCGGGCGGGCGGAAGCTGAGCGGAGCGTACTCGTGCGTGGTGGTGGGGGGCACGTTCGACCGCCTGCACGACGGCCACCGCCTGCTGCTCAGGGTGGGTGGCGCGCATCGTGATGGCGCGCACTGGGCATGCGCGCACTGGGCATGGGCGCACTGGGCATGGCGCGCACTGGGCATGGCGAGTCACAGCATTCCACCTCTCACAACCCCGCGTGTCCGTTACTACTCTTGATGACTGTATCCTCACCGGCCAGGCAAAACGGGTTAACCCGACGCCGTAGCGATTGCGAGTTAACCCGTTGTGCGAGTCCGCAGGCTTACAGTTGGGGTCCTCGCTGCCGCCTCACCTGCCGCACGTGAGTGCTCATCTCAATTGGCCTCCTTGCCGCCCTGATTGCAGACAGCAGCGGCAGCAGCGCGGGAGCGAGTGGTGGTGGGAATCACGGTGGGGCGCATGCTGCAGACCAAAGAGGTGCGTGTCACTCCATCTCCGCCCTGCACCGCTCCGCTTTGCACCTTACCGCTTTGCACCTTACCGATTTGCAGTACGTGAGCGCTACCACCTTGACGCCTTTGTGAAAGCAGGCACATGCTTTTCCCCTGTCGCTCTGACCGCTCCCTGCCTGCTCTGTTGGTCGTGGTGGGTGTTTGGGCAACAGTTGTGCGAGCTGATTGAATCATTCGAGCAGCGCCAGCACGCAGTCACCGAGTTCATCCAGGTGCGCTGGCCCCCTGTCCCCCTTCCCGGTTCCCAGTTCATCCAGGTGCGCTGGCCCCCTGTCCCCCTTCCCGGTTCCCAGTTCATCCAGGTGCGCTGGCCCCCTGTCCCCCTTCCCGGTTCCCAGTTCATCCAGGTGCGCTGGCCCCCTGTCCCCCTTCCCGGTTCCCAGTTCATCCAGGTGCGCTGGCCCCCTGCCCCCCTTCTCGGTTCCCAGTTCATCCAGGTGCGCTGGCCCCCTGTCCCCCTTCCCAGTTCCCAGTTCATCCAGGTGCGCTGGCCCCCTGTCCCCTTCCCGGTTCCCAGTTCATCCAGGTGCGCTGGCATGCACCGCTGCCCTCCGCTCCACGCGTCTACTTGCCGCCTCCTGGCACGCATGCCTCTTTTTTTCTCAACCACTCACTCGCATGCCTCTTCTTCTCAACCACTCACTCGCATGTCAAGCATTTCATTCACTTGTCCTCACTTACCCCCCTGCCCCCCCTCCTCGCAATCCCTCCTCCTATGCTGCATCCCATCTCTCACTGATGGACGTCCTTCCTCCCTTCCGCCTCGTGCCGTGCTGCACTGCACTCCACCATGCTGCGCTCCCCCATGCCTGCATGTGCCATGCTGCATGGCGGGGCGATGGTGGGAGGGGCGAGGGGCGAGGGGCGAGGGGCAGGGGGAGAAGGCGGGAGTGGGGGTGGAGGCAGTGGCGATACACGACCCCTTCGGCCCCGCCATCACCGACCCTCACATGGACGCCATCGCTGTCAGGTGCTCTGCTCCCAACCCATCGCTGTCAGGTGCTCTGCTCCCAACCCATCGCTGTCAGGTGCTCTGCTCCCAACCCATCGCTGTCAGGTGCTCTGCTCCCAACCCATCGCTGTCAGGTGCTCTCCTCCCACCCATCGCTGTCAGGTGCTCTGCTCCCAACCCATCGCTGTCAGGTGCTCTGCTCCCAACCCATCGCTGTCAGGTGCTCTGCTCCCAACCCATCGCTGTCAGGTGCTCTGCTCCCAACCCATCGCTGTCAGGTGCTCTGCTCCCAACCCATCGCTGTCAGGTGCTCTGCTCCCAACCCATCGCTGTCAGGTGCTCTGCTCCCAACCCATCGCTGTCAGGTGCTCTGCTCCCAACCCATCGCTGTCAGGTGCTCTGCTCCCAACCCATCGCTGTCAGGTGCTCTGCTCCCAACCCATCGCTGTCAGGTGCTCTGCTCCCAACCCATCGCTGTCAGGTGCTCTGCTCCCAACCCATCGCTGTCAGGTGCTCTGCTCCCAACCCATCGCTGTCAGGTGCTCTGCTCCCAACCCATCGATGTCAGGTGCTCTGCTCCCACCCATCGCTGTCAGGTGCTCTGCTCCCAACCCATCGCTGTCAGGTGCTCTGCTCCCAACCCATCGCTGTCAGGTGCTCTGCTCCCAACCCATCGCTGTCAGGTGCTCTGCTCCCAACCCATCGCTGTCAGGTGCTCTGCTCCCAACCCATCGCTGTCAGGTGCTCTGCTCCCAACCCATCGCTGTCAGGTGCTCTGCTCCCAACCCATCGCTGTCAGGTGCTCTGCTCCCAACCCATCGCTGTCAGGTGCTCTGCTCCCAACCCATCGCTGTCAGGTGCTCTGCTCCCAACCCATCGATGTCAGGTGCTCTGCTCCCACCCATCGCTGTCAGGTGCTCTGCTCCCAACCCATCGCTGTCAGGTGCTCTGCTCCCAACCCATCGCTGTCAGGTGCTCTGCTCCCAACCCATCGCTGTCAGGTGCTCTGCTCCCAACCCATCGATGTCAGGTGCTCTGCTCCCACCCATCGCTGTCAGGTGCTCTGCTCCCAACCCATCGCTGTCAGGTGCTCTGCTCCCAACCCATCGCTGTCAGGTGCTCTGCTCCCAACCCATCGCTGTCAGGTGCTCTGCTCCCAACCCATCGCTGTCAGGTGCTCTGCTCCCAACCCATCGCTGTCAGGTGCTCTGCTCCCAACCCATCGCTGTCAGGTGCTCTGCTCCCAACCCATCGCTGTCAGGTGCTCTGCTCCCAACCCATCGCTGTCAGGTGCTCTGCTCCCAACCCATCGCTGTCAGGTGCTCTGCTCCCAACCCATCGCTGTCAGGTGCTCTGCTCCCAACCCATCGATGTCAGGTGCTCTGCTCCCAACCCATCGCTGTCAGGTGCTCTGCTCCCAACCCATCGCTGTCAGGTGCTCTGCTCCCAACCCATCGCTGTCAGGTGCTCTGCTCCCAACCCATCGCTGTCAGGTGCTCTGCTCCCAACCCATCGCTGTCAGGTGCTCTGCTCCCAACCCATCGCTGTCAGGTGCTCTGCTCCCAACCCATCGCTGTCAGGTGCTCTGCTTAGTGGGAATATACGCGTTTTGCGTATATAAGCTTATCGTATATACGCGCTCGTATATACGCTATACGCTGTAGGGACGGGTTTGGGAATCCGCTTTTTCGGGCAGAAAAAAAACTTCTCGGGCAGGGTAAAAAAAACCCGGGGAGGGGGGGGGGGGGGGGGGGGGGGGGGGGGGGGGGGGGGGGGGGGGGGGGGGGAGGCGGTGCTGAAGTTTCAAAGTACAGTTTTTTTCCACATTACACATATACCACGGCCTACACATAACTTTTCCCTATACTCTAAGACTCTCTAAGTACTACTCCTTAGGCCTAGCCGCCCACAGCAAGCCACATATGCCCCCTCTATTTAGCGTACTCGTCTTCGAGGATGTCGTCGTCGTTGCCTTCCTCCTCATCCTCTCCCGTCGTCTCGTCTTCCAGCCCATTGTATCCCGCCGGGATTGGAGGCTCCGCTCCAATCCCGGGCACCACATGTGGCAGGACATCGGCGCGCTTGTGCCAGTTGCGCACAACATTCCAGTTGTGCGCAACATAGACCAAGTCCCTGCACTTGGCGGATCCGAGCCTGTTTCGACGTGCGGTGTGGACGGCATCCCACGATGACCATCCACGCTCACAAGGTGAGGCTGACACGGGCTGAGACAGCACCCGTACCGCGAGCCCTGCCACTCGTGGGGCATCAGTCCCATTCCACTGCCACCACTTCACCATGCTATACTTCCCCTTTTTCACCAGCTTCCTCTGTGCCACGGCTTCCGGCATCCCAAAAGAATCCTTCATGTCAAGGAACGCCCTCAGCCCATCCCCCAGCTCAAGCAAGATGTCGCACGCGTCATCCCCCCCATCCCCGCGGCTCGCAAGGAACTCGGCATACTGGCTGATGAACGCCTTGAAAACTTTTGTGCACTCGGGATCAGTGCCGAAAATATCTTCCTCCTGATTGGCGGGGTTGAGGATGCGGCCAGCGACATGCATGGCGCATGCGAGGCTGCCGTCCCAACGGTCTCTGAGGATGCGGCGGATCTGGTCCTTCTGCCCATTGCTCAACTGCTCCTCGTCCTCATCGAGTAAGTCCCCCACGTCCTCAGTCAACTGGAGCATCACATCGTACATCCCCACGGCATGCCCGTCCGTCTGCCTCATCGCCTTGTAGGGCAGCTTCAGCAGGGCGGTGAAAAATTCGGCCGTTTTCCACCAGGCGGCATCATGGATTAGCGCACTAAACCCGTCGCATGATTTCTTCCGGTCCCCTGCCGCCCACTCCTTCCACTGGTCGCTCGTCACCATGTTGGTGAGGCTGCCGCGCATCGCACACAGCCGGGATATGGCTATGTAGTTGGTCCCGAATCGGGTTCCAGCCGGCTTCAGCATGTTAGAATTGAACCATTGATTTGATTAGGGATCAAGAGGGCTTACATAGTTGAAGCTAGGGAAGGTGGGTTGGTTGGGTACCTAGCCAACATTATTGGCCCCCCACCAATAAGTTGGGTTGGAGAATTATTGGGGGGTCCCAATAATGTTGGCCAAAGTGAGCCAACATTATTGGGGGGGCCAATAATCTCCCAACCCAACCTTGGGGGCCAATAATTGGGCCAAGGTTGGGTTCCAACCCCCAACTAGGGTTAACCCTAGTTTGTGCACCCAAACATAGTTTGGGTGCTTATCTCTATCCTAGGGTTTATAGGATCACTGTAGGATACAAAAGAGTAGTATAATCTAACACAACCCCTTAGCCTGCAGAGATCCATGAACCTGGATGAGATAAGACAGCAACCCCTGAATCAGTCACCATGGGGAGTAAGGCCCAGGAGGGGTAAGATTGCTGAGTGAGTAGCGCGATCGAGGGCCTTAGTGAAAATGTCGGCGGGGTTGGAGGAGGAGTCGATCTTGCGTACGGTAATGTGGCCATCCTGGACAAGGTCGCGGATGAAGTAGTGTCGGAGCTCGATATGTTTAGAGCGACCATGAAAAACAGCTTCTTTGGTGAGGTGGATGGTGCTGGCGTTGTCACACCAGAGCGTGGGACAGGGCTGTGGTGAGCCAAGGTCTGTGAGGAGATAACTGAGCCAGCGTGCTTCTTGGGCTGCCATCGTGACCGCGTACAGTTCAGCCTCACAGGAGGAGAGGGCGATGGAGGAGGAACGGGTGGAGCGCCAGCTGATAAGGCCGCTCCCAAGGGTGAAGCCATATCCTTGTGAGCTGCGACGGTCGGGCTGCGAGTCTGCCCAAGACGAGTCACTGAAGCCAGTGAGAACCGGTGGGTCTGCTCCACTGAGGGTGAGGGTATAATTCTTCGTGTGCTGAAGGTAGCGTAGGACACGCCGGGCTGCTGTCATGTGTTCCTCTGTGTGCCTGCCGACACCAACGAACCGCGCCAGGACACTGACTGGGTATGCAAGGTCGGAGCGGGTGCAGACCATGGCGTACATCAGGGCCCCAACGAGTTCTGCATAAGGGTTCGAGGAGTCGGTGGGGGTGGCAGGGGGTGAGAGCTGGTGCCCGACTGCAAGTGGCGTGGCGATGGGCTTGGCCTTTGACATTCCAAACCGCTCAAGGACCTTCTCAATGTAGAAGGACTGAGAGAGGGAGATAGTCTTGGCCTTGAGGTCGCGGGTGATCTCCATGCCAAGGTAGTTGCGGACCTCCCCGAGGTCTTTGCAGGCGAGGCGGCGTTGTAGTTCGTCCTTGACCTTCTGCAGCTCAGCATCTGTGTCAGCGGCCAGTAGCATATCGTCGACGTATACGAGAATGTAAAAAGGGGACGGAGTAGTCCGAAGGAAGAGGCTGGAGGCAGCTCGGGAGGGGCGAAAACCAAGCTCGCGAAGGGTGGAAGAGAGCTTGGCATGCCACTCCCGGGGTGCCTGCTTGAGGCCGTAGACTGGCCGCAGAAGCTTCCAAACGGTGGCCGGGTCATGTGGAGCGTGAAAGCCTTGGGGGCGTTCCATGAATATGAGTTCGTGTAGGTCGCCTTGGAGGAAGGCGGTAGTGACATCCATGGAGTGTAGCAGCATGCCGCGTCTGCCGACGAAGTCGAGAAACACCCGTACAACCGGTAGAGAAGCAGTGGGTGAGTAGGTTTCGAAGAAGTCAAAGCCGTGTTTTTGCGTGAAGCCCTTCGCCACATAGCGGGCTTTGTAGACTGGGTCCTCGCCAGGGAGGAGCTTGACACGAAAGAGCCATTTGCCCTTGACCACATTGGTCTTGGCAGGGCGAGGGACGTCGATGAAGGAGCGGTTGTGGATGAAGGCATTACTCTCCTTGACCATAGCTTCAATCCAGAGCGGTGCGTCGAGGCAGGCAATAGCCTCCTCGTATGTGGTGGGGGTGAAGATGGTGGGGGTGCCTGAGAAAAGCAGAACTGGAGTGCCGGCCATGGTGCGGACGATGGGGGCGATGGAGGGCGCGAGGAGGTGGAGGAAGAGGAGTTCGTCGTGGGTGTCTTCATAGAGGAGAGGAGAGAGAGGAGGAGGTAGGGGGGGTGGTGAAGATGCAGGACGGCTGCGCTGGAGGTCGAGTCTGGGACATGGTAGTGCTGCTGCTCGGCTGCGCGGTGTTGCACTCAGGAGCGTGGAGCGGTTGCGCTGTGGGTCTAGAGTGAGGGGACTGAAGCGGGGGGGAAGGGGAGTACCGGTGAGGGCGAGGAGGGAGGAGGGGGCGGATTGTGGGGGACCAAGGATGGGGTCTAGGGAGCGGGTATGGGGATAGTGGGGGAGGACAAGGGTAGGGGAGGGGCGCCGAGGAAGAGAGGGGGGGGGGGGGGGGGGGGGGGGGGGAGTTAGAGGAGGGGAGGGGGGAGGGGGGAAGGGGGGGGGGGCGGGGGAGGTGGAGGAGGGGGAGGAGGTGGAGGGAGGTGAGTTGCAGCGGAAGGTGAGGTAGTGGAGTGGGAGGGGGAGGGAGGGGGTGGGTTGAGGATGTCGCCGGAGGAGCTGGAGGAGAGGGGAGGGGGGGGGGGGGGAGGAGGAGGGGGGGGAGGGGTCATGGCGGGGGAGGGGAGGAGGGGCAGGGTGTCAGTCCAGAGGAGGGGCCGGGAAGACGGGGGAAGGGGGTTAGGGGCGGAGGGGGAGGTGTAGTACGGGGTGGCCTCGTCAAAGACCACGTCCCGACTACGGATGAGGCGGCCTGAGGGGGGGTGGAGGAAAAGGTAGTCGGATGAGTTGGTGTTGTGTCCAAGGTAGAGACAGGGGAGAGTGCGGGACGCGAGCTTTCCACTTGCGCGTGGGCGGTCTGCAGGGTGTATGAGGACATACGCCTTGCAACCCCACACGCGCAGAGAGGAGATGTCAGGCTTGCTGGAGGTCCATAGTTCGGTGGGGGTGGTGGTGGGACGGGAGGGGTGGGGGTAGAGGTTAGTGAGTATGGCAGCGTGAAGGATGGCATAGCCCCAAAGAGAAGGTGGGCAGGAGGCGTGAACGAGGAGGCACCGAGCAGTTTTGGTGATCTCCCGAACGCGGCTCTCCGCCACACCATTCTGCTGAGGGGAGTGAGGGAGTGTGTAGGTGTGGAGGATGCCGTTAGAGGTGCAGTAGGAGGACAGGGTGCGGTTGAGGAACTCACCACCTCCATCGGAATGGAAGCGGCGAACAGGGCGACCGTAGTGGTTGCGTGCTTGTTCAGCCCAAGCCGTGATGGCAGCCGGGGCCTCCGCCTTCGTACGAAGGAGGGTGACGGAGGAGTATCGACTATGATCATCCACCAGGATGAGGAGGTAGCGATGTCCTTGCCTGGTGGGGGAAGGGTTAGGGCCCCAAAGGTCCATGTGGACGAGGTCAAGAGGTTGGAGGGAGAAGGAGGGGTTACTTGTATGTGGTTGTTGCTTCAGCTTGCTTTCAACACAAACTGAGCAAGGAGGGGAGGGGGAAGGAGGGAGGGGGGGAAGGGTGAGGGGGAGGCCGTCAAGTAGTTTAGTGAGGATGGAGCGACGAAGGGTGGCAAAGTTGGGATGGCCTAGGCGATGGTGGAGGAGAATGGTAGGGTGTGTGAGATCACGACAGTGACAGGGGGGGGGTGGGTTAGGTGGGAGGAGAGGAAGGGGAGTGGGATGGGCGGGGGGAGTAGGGGGGGGGGGGGAAAGGGGGGGGGGAGGGGAGGCGATGGGGGGGGGAGGAGGGGGGTTCGAGAGGGGGGGGGGAAGGGGCGGGGGAATGAGGTGTGGAGAGTTGGTGAAGGGTGGGACGGGGGATGCGGAAGGTGTACATGTGGGTGGAGGGGCACCGATGGACACGGTAGAGAGGAAGCGACCGGAGGAGGTGTGAAATAAGTCGCAATATGCTGCGTGACCAGGGAATATGGCGGTGACACCTGCCGCTGAGAGGGCACCAAGGGATACCAGGTTGTTACGAAGAGAGGGGATGTAGAGACCTGTGACGGTACCTGAGGGAAAGAGGGGACAGGGGAGTGTGGAGGTGGTGGTGGGCGTAGGGAGGAGGTGTTGGACTTGTTGGAGAACGTGAGGGGAGAGGTGCTGGGCGAGGACATTATGGAGGTTAGGTGGAGAGGGTGCATAGGCAGAGAGAGTGCGAATATCATGAGGGGTGGGGCGAGGGGTGATAGTGTTCCAACGTGGAGGGGGACCTGTGTTGCCTCGTGCAAGCCATTCATCAGTGAGGGCTTTGAAGCACGTGTCAGTGGGATGAGTAGTCTGGTTGCAGGTCTGACCTTTGTTGGGGCCTTGACGAATGACGTACTGGCACGGGGGGAACCCTCCTGTGGATGGAGTAGTTGTTCCACGGCCGCCTCGTTCCCCAGTGCGTCCTCCGCGTCCACCTCCGCGACCGCCTCCTCGCCCGCCTCCTCGCCCGCCTCCGTTTGAACCACGTCCAGGTCCGCTGCTGCTGCTTCCGCCAGTGGTATTGGTTCCTTTGCGAGTGTGGACAGCATTGACCGTTGCAGAGTCATGCAGGAGGTCAGCCTCACTGTCAAGGAGCCAGTCGATGGTAACAGCCACAGGAGGAGGACGAATGTGCTGGGAAGTGAAGTCGATGCGGTAGGTATCATAGGTGGGTGGGAGGCAGTCAAGGATGCGAGCTGTGAGGAGGGTGTCCGAGATCAAGATGCCTCGATCATTGAGGCGTTGCGCAGTGTCCGTGAGACGCCGAGTGAAGGAGGCGGCATTGAGGGAGGAGTCAAGGGTGGTATCTTGGAAGGTGCGAAAGAGGGAGAGGAGGGAGCGTAAGTCCTGACGATCATATTGGGAGGAGAGAGACTTCTAGAGAGAGGGGGAGGATGGAGGGCGAAGGTCACGTTTGAGTGAGGAGGGAATGCACGAAAAGATGACAGTAAGTGCACGGCGGTCAGCAATGCGCCATGCAGCAGTGTCCGTGTGGTGCTTACGAAGGTTAGTAGAGTACGCTTCGGAGATGGCTTTGAATTCTGCAAGCTTTGCAGTAGCAGCTTCGTGAGCGGCGATGGCAGCCGCGTGTGCTCTGCTCTTGATGACATAATCGTCCCGCTCCTTGTTGTACTTGTTGAGGGTGCGCGCCCACCTGTTCGGGTCATCCTCCCAAGCCCCTAGAATAGGGGCTTGAGGGGCGGGTTCGGTCGGGAGTGGTGGGGCGTCGGGGGGGGAGGAGCCTGGGAGTGGGGGCGGGGTGGGAGGGAGGCCATTAGGTGTTTCGAGGACGACGTCGAGGAGGCAGTAATCTCCCACTCGAACGGAGCCAAGATATGTGAAGAGGCTTTCCTCAAACGACACCCAATTGACCGCGGTGGTGCCGTTGAGGAGTTCGAGTTTGTCGATGGAGGCGAGCTCAAGTGAAGAAGGTTCGTCTGCCATGACGAGTGAGGGAGGGAGGAGGAGGGGAGGGTGGAGGCGCTAGAGGTGACGACGCTGTCCGGAGGGACAGCGCGGTTGATGGTGGGGATGGGCTGCGTGCTGTCCGCAGCTGGTTATGCCCCGGCTGGTCGCGTTCGCTGCTGCCCGCGTTCGTCGCGTCCGCGGCGGCCGCCCGCGTTCGTCGCGTCCGCGGCGGCCGCCCGCGTTCGTCGCGTCCGCGGCGGCCGCCCGCGTTCGTCGCGTCCGCGGCGGCCGCCCGCGTTCGTCGCGTCCGCGGCGGCCGCCCGCGTTCGTCGCGTCCGCGGCGGCCGCCCGCGTTCGTCGCGTCCGCGGCGGCCGCCCGCGTTCGTCGCGTCCGCGGCGGCCGCCCGCGTTCGTCGCGTCCGCGGCGGCCGCCCGCGTTCGTCGCGTCCGCGGTCGCCGCGTCCGCGGCGGACGGCCGCGTTCGCCGCGTCCGCGGCGGACGGCCGCGTTCGCCGCGTCCGCGGCGGACGGCCGCGTTCGTCGCGTCCGCGGGTGACGGTCGCGTTCGTCGTGGCGGACGGTCGAGATGAGGAGAGGAGCGTCGAGATGGCGCGAGGGGCCGGTAGAGCCGGCGGGAGGTGCGCTAAGTGGCGCGAGAGGCGCGGCAGAGCCGGCGAGAGGTGCGCTAAGTGGCGCGAGAGGCGCGGCAGAGCCGGCGAGAGGTGCGCTAAGTGGTGCCAGAGATGCACTAAGTGGCGCGAGGGATGCGCTAAGTGGCGCGAAGGGTCCTAGGATCTTGAGCGGCGTTGGCCGTAAGAGCTCTGATAGCATGTTAGAATTGAACCGTTGATTTGATTAGGGATCAAGAGGGCTTACATAGTTGAAGCTAGGGAAGGTGGGTTGGTTGGGTACCTAGCCAACATTATTGGCCCCCCACCAATAAGTTGGGTTGGAGAATTATTGGGGGGTCCCAATAATGTTGGCCAAAGTGAGCCAACATTTATTGGGGGGGCCAATAATCTCCCAACCCAACCTTGGGGGCCAATAATTGGGCCAAGGTTGGGTTCCAACCCCCAACTAGGGTTAACCCTAGTTTGTGCACCCAAACATAGTTTGGGAGCTTATCTCTATCCTAGGGTTTATAGGATCACTGTAGGATACAAAAGAGTAGTATAATCTAACACAGCGCTTCCAGAACCTTCCCCTCCACAAATTCCGGCGTCCGCAGGTACCCTCGGGTCCAATGGTGGTTGCGGACGAAGCCGGTTATCTCCCCTCCCTTGTCGACCACCGGCTTAGCCCATGGCATCTTCCCCACGTCTTCCATGAGAAGATCCAATACATGAGTGGCGCACGGCACATCCTGAATGTGCGGCCACTCCCGTATAAGGTGCTTCACTGCCACCGCATAGTTCGACCCCCCGTCCATGCAGAACGCAACAACGTTCTCTGGACCCACTTCCTCCACCACGGGCCTGAGAATCCCCGCCACGTAACCACCCGTTTTCCTCTCCATGTTGCAGTCAATACAGTCGAAGAAGACGGCGCCGGAATCATTCACGAGAAGCACGTTGGCCTGCGGCCTGCCCCTGCGGTCCGTCATCATGTCGGACGAAATCGTCACGCCCGTCCGCTTCCAGCTCGTCTTGACGCCCACCAAACCCTGCTCGATTCCGTTGCGACACGCGACAAGGCCAGCACCGCCGACGTATTTCCTCTTGGGAGGGACGTAGTCGCCGCCGGCGCGTGAGACGTTGTTCAATGCATTGACCATCAGAGGATGGTCAATGTGGCGCTCGGGGATGTGGAGGGCGGCCCAAGCAAGCGCAAGTGACTCGTCCGCTTCTCTCTTTCTTGCAGCCGCATCCCCCTCAAGGTAATCGGTGATGCGCGCCCGCTTCCCACCGTTAGCCTTCACCGCGGCAACCGCTTCAGCTGCAGCCCGCCTCCTTTCTTCGGCCGCAGCAGCCTTTGCCTCGTAATGCGCGCGCATGGCCCGACGCACATCTTGCGGCGCATCCTTGCAAAGCACCACTTCACGGCGTTTCATCCCCTTCCACGACGTGAAGTGTTGTGCGCATCGGATGGCAGCACCAGTGTAGACGTTGCTGCAGAACTTGCACTCGTACTGCTGAGCTTTTCCCTCGACCCTCTTGATGATGCGGAAGTGCCTGAAGACGGCATGGTCAACGTCAGGGAGATACTCCCGTGCCCCGGTTAGAAGAGTTTGCGAACTGCCAACGGTGTTAACTGACGGTGCCGTTGGAGGAGAGGTGGTAGTAGTCGACATAGGCTTTAGGCGCTAGGGAATGCCCAGTGCTCTGCTGGTAGCGGGGGAAAACCTAATGAGTTGGATGTTGGGGGTGTGCGTGTTTAATAGCGAGATGACTCTAAGAGTGGGAAGATGGGCAACAGAAGTTGGAATCGCTTTATCGCAATTGGTTGCGAAGGTTTTGAATGCGGTACTGAGTGTGAACACCAAAATGTGAGGGAACGTGCAGGCGCGACTCGACGTACGTGACTTTCCATTCGCGACACGAACTTTCAACCCACGTCCACGCTAGCACACAGCGCCAATGTCTTCCTCGTGCAATTCCGAAGTGAACCGTATAGGTTGAAATTTTCTGGCCGGGCTGCCCCAAAAAAAAATGGCGAGCGTATAGCGTATTCCCTTGCGTATAGCGTTTTGCGTATGCACGCTAGCGTGTATACGCTAAACGCAAACAGTTTTGAGCGTATATTCCCACTAAGGTTCTCTGCTCCCAACCCATCGCTGTCAGGTGCTCTGCTCCCAACCCATCGCTGTCAGGTGCTCTGCTCCCAACCCATCGCTGTCAGGTGCTCTGCTCCCAACCCATCGCTGTCAGGTGCTCTGCTCCCAACCCATCGCTGTCAGGTGCTCTGCTCCCAACCCATCGCTGTCAGGTGCTCTGCTCCCAACCCATCGCTGTCAGGTGCTCTGCTCCCAACCCATCGCTGTCAGGTGCTCTGCTCCCAACCCATCGCTGTCAGGTGCTCTGCTCCCAACCCATCGCTGTCAGGTGCTCTGCTCCCAACCCATCGCTGTCAGGTGCTCTGCTCCCAACCCATCGCTGTCAGGTGCTCTGCTCCCAACCCATCGCTGTCAGGTGCTCTGCTCCCAACCCATCGCTGTCAGGTGCTCTGCTCCCAACCCATCGCTGTCAGGTGCTCTGCTCCCAACCCATCGCTGTCAGGTGCTCTGCTCCCAACCCATCGCTGTCAGGTGCTCTGCTCCCAACCCATCGCTGTCAGGTGCTCTGCTCCCAACCCATCGCTGTCAGGTGCTCTGCTCCCAACCCATCGCTGTCAGGTGCTCTGCTCCCAACCCATCGATGTCAGGTGCTCTGCTCCCAACCCATCGCTGTCAGGTGCTCTGCTCCCAACCCATCGCTGTCAGGTGCTCTGCTCCCAACCCATCGCTGTCAGGTGCTCTGCTCCCAACCCATCGCTGTCAGGTGCTCTGCTCCCAACCCATCGCTGTCAGGTGCTCTGCTCCCAACCCATCGCTGTCAGGTGCTCTGCTCCCAACCCATCGCTGTCAGGTGCTCTGCTCCCAACCCATCGCTGTCAGGTGCTCTGCTCCCAACCCATCGCTGTCAGGTGCTCTGCTCCCAACCCATCGCTGTCAGGTGCTCTGCTCCCAACCCATCGCTGTCAGGTGCTCTGCTCCCAACCCATCGCTGTCAGGTGCTCTGCTCCCAACCCATCGCTGTCAGGTGCTCTGCTCCCAACCCATCGCTGTCAGGTGCTCTGCTCCCAACCCATCGCTGTCAGGTGCTCTGCTCCCAACCCATCGCTGTCAGGTGCTCTGCTCCCAACCCATCGCTGTCAGGTGCTCTGCTCCCAACCCATCGCTGTCAGGTGCTCTGCTCCCAACCCATCGCTGTCAGGTGCTCTGCTCCCAACCCATCGCTGTCAGGTGCTCTGCTCCCAACCCATCGCTGTCAGGTGCTCTGCTCCCAACCCATCGCTGTCAGGTGCTCTGCTCCCAACCCATCGCTGTCAGGTGCTCTGCTCCCAACCCATCGCTGTCAGGTGCTCTGCTCCCAACCCATCGCTGTCAGGTGCTCTGCTCCCAACCCATCGCTGTCAGGTGCTCTGCTCCCAACCCATCGCTGTCAGGTGCTCTGCTCCCAACCCATCGCTGTCAGGTGCTCTGCTCCCAACCCATCGCTGTCAGGTGCTCTGCTCCCAACCCATCGCTGTCAGGTGCTCTGCTCCCAACCCATCGCTGTCAGGTGCTCTGCTCCCAACCCATCGCTGTCAGGTGCTCTGCTCCCAACCCATCGCTGTCAGGTGCTCTGCTCCCAACCCATCGCTGTCAGGTGCTCTGCTCCCAACCCATCGCTGTCAGGTGCTCTGCTCCCAACCCATCGCTGTCAGGTGCTCTGCTCCCAACCCATCGCTGTCAGGTGCTCTGCTCCCAACCCATCGCTGTCAGGTGCTCTGCTCCCAACCCATCGCTGTCAGGTGCTCTGCTCCCAACCCATCGCTGTCAGGTGCTCTGCTCCCAACCCATCGCTGTCAGGTGCTCTGCTCCCAACCCATCGCTGTCAGGTGCTCTGCTCCCAACCCATCGCTGTCAGGTGCTCTGCTCCCAACCCATCGCTGTCAGGTGCTCTGCTCCCAACCCATCGCTGTCAGGTGCTCTGCTCCCAACCCATCGCTGTCAGGTGCTCTGCTCCCAACCCATCGCTGTCAGGTGCTCTGCTCCCAACCCATCGCTGTCAGGTGCTCTGCTCCCAACCCATCGCTGTCAGGTGCTCTGCTCCCAACCCATCGCTGTCAGGTGCTCTGCTCCCAACCCATCGCTGTCAGGTGCTCTGCTCCCAACCCATCGCTGTCAGGTGCTCTGCTCCCAACCCATCGCTGTCAGGTGCTCTGCTCCCACTCCATCGCTGTCAGGTGCTCTGCTCCCAACCCATCGCTGTCAGGTGCTCTGCTCCCAACCCATCGCTGTCAGGTGCTCTGCTCCCAACCCATCGATGTCAGGTGCTCTGCTCCCAACCCATCGCTGTCAGGTGCTCTGCTCCCAACCCATCGCTGTCAGGTGCTCTGCTCCCAACCCATCGCTGTCAGGTGCTCTGCTCCCAACCCATCGCTGTCAGGTGCTCTGCTCCCAACCCATCGCTGTCAGGTGCTCTGCTCCCAACCCATCGCTGTCAGGTGCTCTGCTCCCAACCCATCGCTGTCAGGTGCTCTGCTCCCAACCCATCGCTGTCAGGTGCTCTGCTCCCAACCCATCGCTGTCAGGTGCTCTGCTCCCAACCCATCGCTGTCAGGTGCTCTGCTCCCAACCCATCGCTGTCAGGTGCTCTGCTCCCAACCCATCGCTGTCAGGTGCTCTGCTCCCAACCCATCGCTGTCAGGTGCTCTGCTCCCAACCCATCGCTGTCAGGTGCTCTGCTCCCAACCCATCGCTGTCAGGTGCTCTGCTCCCAACCCATCGCTGTCAGGTGCTCTGCTCCCAACCCATCGCTGTCAGGTGCTCTGCTCCCAACCCATCGCTGTCAGGTGCTCTGCTCCCAACCCATCGCTGTCAGGTGCTCTGCTCCCAACCCATCGCTGTCAGGTGCTCTGCTCCCAACCCATCGCTGTCAGGTGCTCTGCTCCCAACCCATCGCTGTCAGGTGCTCTGCTCCCAACCCATCGCTGTCAGGTGCTCTGCTCCCAACCCATCGCTGTCAGGTGCTCTGCTCCCAACCCATCGCTGTCAGGTGCTCTGCTCCCAACCCATCGCTGTCAGGTGCTCTGCTCCCAACCCATCGCTGTCAGGTGCTCTGCTCCCAACCCATCGCTGTCAGGTGCTCTGCTCCCAACCCATCGCTGTCAGGTGCTCTGCTCCCAACCCATCGCTGTCAGGTGCTCTGCTCCCAACCCATCGCTGTCAGGTGCTCTGCTCCCAACCCATCGCTGTCAGGTGCTCTGCTCCCAACCCATCGCTGTCAGGTGCTCTGCTCCCAACCCATCGCTGTCAGGTGCTCTGCTCCCAACCCATCGCTGTCAGGTGCTCTGCTCCCAACCCATCGCTGTCAGGTGCTCTGCTCCCAACCCATCGCTGTCAGGTGCTCTGCTCCCAACCCATCGCTGTCAGGTGCTCTGCTCCCAACCCATCGCTGTCAGGTGCTCTGCTCCCAACCCATCGCTGTCAGGTGCTCTGCTCCCAACCCATCGCTGTCAGGTGCTCTGCTCCCAACCCATCGCTGTCAGGTGCTCTGCTCCCAACCCATCGCTGTCAGGTGCTCTGCTCCCAACCCATCGCTGTCAGGTGCTCTGCTCCCAACCCATCGCTGTCAGGTGCTCTGCTCCCAACCCATCGCTGTCAGGTGCTCTGCTCCCAACCCATCGCTGTCAGGTGCTCTGCTCCCAACCCATCGCTGTCAGGTGCTCTGCTCCCAACCCATCGCTGTCAGGTGCTCTGCTCCCAACCCATCGCTGTCAGGTGCTCTGCTCCCAACCCATCGCTGTCAGGTGCTCTGCTCCCAACCCATCGCTGTCAGGTGCTCTGCTCCCAACCCATCGCTGTCAGGTGCTCTGCTCCCACTCCATCGCTGTCAGGTGCTCTGCTCCCAACCCATCGCTGTCAGGTGCTCTGCTCCCAACCCATCGCTGTCAGGTGCTCTGCTCCCAACCCATCGCTGTCAGGTGCTCTGCTCCCAACCCATCGCTGTCAGGTGCTCTGCTCCCAACCCATCGCTGTCAGGTGCTCTGCTCCCAACCCATCGCTGTCAGGTGCTCTGCTCCCAACCCATCGCTGTCAGGTGCTCTGCTCCCAACCCATCGCTGTCAGGTGCTCTGCTCCCAACCCATCGCTGTCAGGTGCTCTGCTCCCAACCCATCGCTGTCAGGTGCTCTGCTCCCAACCCATCGCTGTCAGGTGCTCTGCTCCCAACCCATCGCTGTCAGGTGCTCTGCTCCCAACCCATCGCTGTCAGGTGCTCTGCTCCCAACCCATCGCTGTCAGGTGCTCTGCTCCCAACCCATCGCTGTCAGGTGCTCTGCTCCCAACCCATCGCTGTCAGGTGCTCTGCTCCCAACCCATCGCTGTCAGGTGCTCTGCTCCCAACCCATCGCTGTCAGGTGCTCTGCTCCCAACCCATCGCTGTCAGGTGCTCTGCTCCCAACCCATCGCTGTCAGGTGCTCTGCTCCCAACCCATCGCTGTCAGGTGCTCTGCTCCCAACCCATCGCTGTCAGGTGCTCTGCTCCCAACCCATCGGTGTCAGGTGCTCTGCTCCCACCCCATCGCTGTCAGGTGCTCTGCTCCCAACCCATCGCTGTCAGGTGCTCTGCTCCCAACCCATCGCTGTCAGGTGCTCTGCTCCCAACCCATCGCTGTCAGGTGCTCTGCTCCCAACCCATCGCTGTCAGGTGCTCTGCTCCCAACCCATCGCTGTCAGGTGCTCTGCTCCCAACCCATCGCTGTCAGGTGCTCTGCTCCCAACCCATCGCTGTCAGGTGCTCTGCTCCCAACCCATCGCTGTCAGGTGCTCTGCTCCCAACCCATCGCTGTCAGGTGCTCTGCTCCCAACCCATCGCTGTCAGGTGCTCTGCTCCCAACCCATCGCTGTCAGGTGCTCTGCTCCCAACCCATCGCTGTCAGGTGCTCTGCTCCCAACCCATCGCTGTCAGGTGCTCTGCTCCCAACCCATCGCTGTCAGGTGCTCTGCTCCCAACCCATCGCTGTCAGGTGCTCTGCTCCCAACCCATCGCTGTCAGGTGCTCTGCTCCCAACCCATCGCTGTCAGGTGCTCTGCTCCCAACCCATCGCTGTCAGGTGCTCTGCTCCCAACCCATCGCTGTCAGGTGCTCTGCTCCCAACCCATCGCTGTCAGGTGCTCTGCTCCCAACCCATCGCTGTCAGGTGCTCTGCTCCCAACCCATCGCTGTCAGGTGCTCTGCTCCCAACCCATCGCTGTCAGGTGCTCTGCTCCCAACCCATCGCTGTCAGGTGCTCTGCTCCCAACCCATCGCTGTCAGGTGCTCTGCTCCCAACCCATCGCTGTCAGGTGCTCTGCTCCCAACCCATCGCTGTCAGGTGCTCTGCTCCCAACCCATCGCTGTCAGGTGCTCTGCTCCCAACCCATCGCTGTCAGGTGCTCTGCTCCCAACCCATCGCTGTCAGGTGCTCTGCTCCCAACCCATCGCTGTCAGGTGCTCTGCTCCCAACCCATCGCTGTCAGGTGCTCTGCTCCCAACCCATCGCTGTCAGGTGCTCTGCTCCCAACCCATCGCTGTCAGGTGCTCTGCTCCCAACCCATCGCTGTCAGGTGCTCTGCTCCCAACCCATCGCTGTCAGGTGCTCTGCTCCCAACCCATCGCTGTCAGGTGCTCTGCTCCCAACCCATCGCTGTCAGGTGCTCTGCTCCCAACCCATCGCTGTCAGGTGCTCTGCTCCCAACCCATCGCTGTCAGGTGCTCTGCTCCCAACCCATCGCTGTCAGGTGCTCTGCTCCCAACCCATCGCTGTCAGGTGCTCTGCTCCCAACCCATCGCTGTCAGGTGCTCTGCTCCCAACCCATCGCTGTCAGGTGCTCTGCTCCCAACCCATCGCTGTCAGGTGCTCTGCTCCCAACCCATCGCTGTCAGGTGCTCTGCTCCCAACCCATCGCTGTCAGGTGCTCTGCTCCCAACCCATCGCTGTCAGGTGCTCTGCTCCCAACCCATCGCTGTCAGGTGCTCTGCTCCCAACCCATCGCTGTCAGGTGCTCTGCTCCCAACCCATCGCTGTCAGGTGCTCTGCTCCCAACCCATCGCTGTCAGGTGCTCTGCTCCCAACCCATCGCTGTCAGGTGCTCTGCTCCCAACCCATCGCTGTCAGGTGCTCTGCTCCCAACCCATCGCTGTCAGGTGCTCTGCTCCCAACCCATCGCTGTCAGGTGCTCTGCTCCCAACCCATCGCTGTCAGGTGCTCTGCTCCCAACCCATCGCTGTCAGGTGCTCTGCTCCCAACCCATCGCTGTCAGGTGCTCTGCTCCCAACCCATCGCTGTCAGGTGCTCTGCTCCCAACCCATCGCTGTCAGGTGCTCTGCTCCCAACCCATCGCTGTCAGGTGCTCTGCTCCCAACCCATCGCTGTCAGGTGCTCTGCTCCCAACCCATCGCTGTCAGGTGCTCTGCTCCCAACCCATCGCTGTCAGGTGCTCTGCTCCCAACCCATCGCTGTCAGGTGCTCTGCTCCCAACCCATCGCTGTCAGGTGCTCTGCTCCCAACCCATCGCTGTCAGGTGCTCTGCTCCCAACCCATCGCTGTCAGGTGCTCTGCTCCCAACCCATCGCTGTCAGGTGCTCTGCTCCCAACCCATCGCTGTCAGGTGCTCTGCTCCCAACCCATCGCTGTCAGGTGCTCTGCTCCCAACCCATCGCTGTCAGGTGCTCTGCTCCCAACCCATCGCTGTCAGGTGCTCTGCTCCCAACCCATCGCTGTCAGGTGCTCTGCTCCCAACCCATCGCTGTCAGGTGCTCTGCTCCCAACCCATCGCTGTCAGGTGCTCTGCTCCCAACCCATCGCTGTCAGGTGCTCTGCTCCCAACCCATCGCTGTCAGGTGCTCTGCTCCCAACCCATCGCTGTCAGGTGCTCTGCTCCCAACCCATCGCTGTCAGGTGCTCTGCTCCCAACCCATCGCTGTCAGGTGCTCTGCTCCCAACCCATCGCTGTCAGGTGCTCTGCTCCCAACCCATCGCTGTCAGGTGCTCTGCTCCCAACCCATCGCTGTCAGGTGCTCTGCTCCCAACCCATCGCTGTCAGGTGCTCTGCTCCCAACCCATCGCTGTCAGGTGCTCTGCTCCCAACCCATCGCTGTCAGGTGCTCTGCTCCCAACCCATCGCTGTCAGGTGCTCTGCTCCCAACCCATCGCTGTCAGGTGCTCTGCTCCCAACCCATCGCTGTCAGGTGCTCTGCTCCCAACCCATCGCTGTCAGGTGCTCTGCTCCCAACCCATCGCTGTCAGGTGCTCTGCTCCCAACCCATCGCTGTCAGGTGCTCTGCTCCCAACCCATCGCTGTCAGGTGCTCTGCTCCCAACCCATCGCTGTCAGGTGCTCTGCTCCCAACCCATCGCTGTCAGGTGCTCTGCTCCCAACCCATCGCTGTCAGGTGCTCTGCTCCCAACCCATCGCTGTCAGGTGCTCTGCTCCCAACCCATCGCTGTCAGGTGCTCTGCTCCCAACCCATCGCTGTCAGGTGCTCTGCTCCCAACCCATCGCTGTCAGGTGCTCTGCTCCCAACCCATCGCTGTCAGGTGCTCTGCTCCCAACCCATCGCTGTCAGGTGCTCTGCTCCCAACCCATCGCTGTCAGGTGCTCTGCTCCCAACCCATCGCTGTCAGGTGCTCTGCTCCCAACCCATCGCTGTCAGGTGCTCTGCTCCCAACCCATCGCTGTCAGGTGCTCTGCTCCCAACCCATCGCTGTCAGGTGCTCTGCTCCCAACCCATCGCTGTCAGGTGCTCTGCTCCCAACCCATCGCTGTCAGGTGCTCTGCTCCCAACCCATCGCTGTCAGGTGCTCTGCTCCCAACCCATCGCTGTCAGGTGCTCTGCTCCCAACCCATCGCTGTCAGGTGCTCTGCTCCCAACCCATCGCTGTCAGGTGCTCTGCTCCCAACCCATCGCTGTCAGGTGCTCTGCTCCCAACCCATCGCTGTCAGGTGCTCTGCTCCCAACCCATCGCTGTCAGGTGCTCTGCTCCCAACCCATCGCTGTCAGGTGCTCTGCTCCCAACCCATCGCTGTCAGGTGCTCTGCTCCCAACCCATCGCTGTCAGGTGCTCTGCTCCCAACCCATCGCTGTCAGGTGCTCTGCTCCCAACCCATCGCTGTCAGGTGCTCTGCTCCCAACCCATCGCTGTCAGGTGCTCTGCTCCCAACCCATCGCTGTCAGGTGCTCTGCTCCCAACCCATCGCTGTCAGGTGCTCTGCTCCCAACCCATCGCTGTCAGGTGCTCTGCTCCCAACCCATCGCTGTCAGGTGCTCTGCTCCCAACCCATCGCTGTCAGGTGCTCTGCTCCCAACCCATCGCTGTCAGGTGCTCTGCTCCCAACCCATCGCTGTCAGGTGCTCTGCTCCCAACCCATCGCTGTCAGGTGCTCTGCTCCCAACCCATCGCTGTCAGGTGCTCTGCTCCCAACCCATCGCTGTCAGGTGCTCTGCTCCCAACCCATCGCTGTCAGGTGCTCTGCTCCCAACCCATCGCTGTCAGGTGCTCTGCTCCCAACCCATCGCTGTCAGGTGCTCTGCTCCCAACCCATCGCTGTCAGGTGCTCTGCTCCCAACCCATCGCTGTCAGGTGCTCTGCTCCCAACCCATCGCTGTCAGGTGCTCTGCTCCCAACCCATCGCTGTCAGGTGCTCTGCTCCCAACCCATCGCTGTCAGGTGCTCTGCTCCCAACCCATCGCTGTCAGGTGCTCTGCTCCCAACCCATCGCTGTCAGGTGCTCTGCTCCCAACCCATCGCTGTCAGGTGCTCTGCTCCCAACCCATCGCTGTCAGGTGCTCTGCTCCCAACCCATCGCTGTCAGGTGCTCTGCTCCCAACCCATCGCTGTCAGGTGCTCTGCTCCCAACCCATCGCTGTCAGGTGCTCTGCTCCCAACCCATCGCTGTCAGGTGCTCTGCTCCCAACCCATCGCTGTCAGGTGCTCTGCTCCCAACCCATCGCTGTCAGGTGCTCTGCTCCCAACCCATCGCTGTCAGGTGCTCTGCTCCCAACCCATCGCTGTCAGGTGCTCTGCTCCCAACCCATCGCTGTCAGGTGCTCTGCTCCCAACCCATCGCTGTCAGGTGCTCTGCTCCCAACCCATCGCTGTCAGGTGCTCTGCTCCCAACCCATCGCTGTCAGGTGCTCTGCTCCCAACCCATCGCTGTCAGGTGCTCTGCTCCCAACCCATCGCTGTCAGGTGCTCTGCTCCCAACCCATCGCTGTCAGGTGCTCTGCTCCCAACCCATCGCTGTCAGGTGCTCTGCTCCCAACCCATCGCTGTCAGGTGCTCTGCTCCCAACCCATCGCTGTCAGGTGCTCTGCTCCCAACCCATCGCTGTCAGGTGCTCTGCTCCCAACCCATCGCTGTCAGGTGCTCTGCTCCCAACCCATCGCTGTCAGGTGCTCTGCTCCCAACCCATCGCTGTCAGGTGCTCTGCTCCCAACCCATCGCTGTCAGGTGCTCTGCTCCCAACCCATCGCTGTCAGGTGCTCTGCTCCCAACCCATCGCTGTCAGGTGCTCTGCTCCCAACCCATCGCTGTCAGGTGCTCTGCTCCCAACCCATCGCTGTCAGGTGCTCTGCTCCCAACCCATCGCTGTCAGGTGCTCTGCTCCCAACCCATCGCTGTCAGGTGCTCTGCTCCCAACCCATCGCTGTCAGGTGCTCTGCTCCCAACCCATCGCTGTCAGGTGCTCTGCTCCCAACCCATCGCTGTCAGGTGCTCTGCTCCCAACCCATCGCTGTCAGGTGCTCTGCTCCCAACCCATCGCTGTCAGGTGCTCTGCTCCCAACCCATCGCTGTCAGGTGCTCTGCTCCCAACCCATCGCTGTCAGGTGCTCTGCTCCCAACCCATCGCTGTCAGGTGCTCTGCTCCCAACCCATCGCTGTCAGGTGCTCTGCTCCCAACCCATCGCTGTCAGGTGCTCTGCTCCCAACCCATCGCTGTCAGGTGCTCTGCTCCCAACCCATCGCTGTCAGGTGCTCTGCTCCCAACCCATCGCTGTCAGGTGCTCTGCTCCCAACCCATCGCTGTCAGGTGCTCTGCTCCCAACCCATCGCTGTCAGGTGCTCTGCTCCCAACCCATCGCTGTCAGGTGCTCTGCTCCCAACCCATCGCTGTCAGGTGCTCTGCTCCCAACCCATCGCTGTCAGGTGCTCTGCTCCCAACCCATCGCTGTCAGGTGCTCTGCTCCCAACCCATCGCTGTCAGGTGCTCTGCTCCCAACCCATCGCTGTCAGGTGCTCTGCTCCCAACCCATCGCTGTCAGGTGCTCTGCTCCCAACCCATCGCTGTCAGGTGCTCTGCTCCCAACCCATCGCTGTCAGGTGCTCTGCTCCCAACCCATCGCTGTCAGGTGCTCTGCTCCCAACCCATCGCTGTCAGGTGCTCTGCTCCCAACCCATCGCTGTCAGGTGCTCTGCTCCCAACCCATCGCTGTCAGGTGCTCTGCTCCCAACCCATCGCTGTCAGGTGCTCTGCTCCCAACCCATCGCTGTCAGGTGCTCTGCTCCCAACCCATCGCTGTCAGGTGCTCTGCTCCCAACCCATCGCTGTCAGGTGCTCTGCTCCCAACCCATCGCTGTCAGGTGCTCTGCTCCCAACCCATCGCTGTCAGGTGCTCTGCTCCCAACCCATCGCTGTCAGGTGCTCTGCTCCCAACCCATCGCTGTCAGGTGCTCTGCTCCCAACCCATCGCTGTCAGGTGCTCTGCTCCCAACCCATCGCTGTCAGGTGCTCTGCTCCCAACCCATCGCTGTCAGGTGCTCTGCTCCCAACCCATCGCTGTCAGGTGCTCTGCTCCCAACCCATCGCTGTCAGGTGCTCTGCTCCCAACCCATCGCTGTCAGGTGCTCTGCTCCCAACCCATCGCTGTCAGGTGCTCTGCTCCCAACCCATCGCTGTCAGGTGCTCTGCTCCCAACCCATCGCTGTCAGGTGCTCTGCTCCCAACCCATCGCTGTCAGGTGCTCTGCTCCCAACCCATCGCTGTCAGGTGCTCTGCTCCCAACCCATCGCTGTCAGGTGCTCTGCTCCCAACCCATCGCTGTCAGGTGCTCTGCTCCCAACCCATCGCTGTCAGGTGCTCTGCTCCCAACCCATCGCTGTCAGGTGCTCTGCTCCCAACCCATCGCTGTCAGGTGCTCTGCTCCCAACCCATCGCTGTCAGGTGCTCTGCTCCCAACCCATCGCTGTCAGGTGCTCTGCTCCCAACCCATCGCTGTCAGGTGCTCTGCTCCCAACCCATCGCTGTCAGGTGCTCTGCTCCCAACCCATCGCTGTCAGGTGCTCTGCTCCCAACCCATCGCTGTCAGGTGCTCTGCTCCCAACCCATCGCTGTCAGGTGCTCTGCTCCCAACCCATCGCTGTCAGGTGCTCTGCTCCCAACCCATCGCTGTCAGGTGCTCTGCTCCCAACCCATCGCTGTCAGGTGCTCTGCTCCCAACCCATCGCTGTCAGGTGCTCTGCTCCCAACCCATCGCTGTCAGGTGCTCTGCTCCCAACCCATCGCTGTCAGGTGCTCTGCTCCCAACCCATCGCTGTCAGGTGCTCTGCTCCCAACCCATCGCTGTCAGGTGCTCTGCTCCCAACCCATCGCTGTCAGGTGCTCTGCTCCCAACCCATCGCTGTCAGGTGCTCTGCTCCCAACCCATCGCTGTCAGGTGCTCTGCTCCCAACCCATCGCTGTCAGGTGCTCTGCTCCCAACCCATCGCTGTCAGGTGCTCTGCTCCCAACCCATCGCTGTCAGGTGCTCTGCTCCCAACCCATCGCTGTCAGGTGCTCTGCTCCCAACCCATCGCTGTCAGGTGCTCTGCTCCCAACCCATCGCTGTCAGGTGCTCTGCTCCCAACCCATCGCTGTCAGGTGCTCTGCTCCCAACCCATCGCTGTCAGGTGCTCTGCTCCCAACCCATCGCTGTCAGGTGCTCTGCTCCCAACCCATCGCTGTCAGGTGCTCTGCTCCCAACCCATCGCTGTCAGGTGCTCTGCTCCCAACCCATCGCTGTCAGGTGCTCTGCTCCCAACCCATCGCTGTCAGGTGCTCTGCTCCCAACCCATCGCTGTCAGGTGCTCTGCTCCCAACCCATCGCTGTCAGGTGCTCTGCTCCCAACCCATCGCTGTCAGGTGCTCTGCTCCCAACCCATCGCTGTCAGGTGCTCTGCTCCCAACCCATCGCTGTCAGGTGCTCTGCTCCCAACCCATCGCTGTCAGGTGCTCTGCTCCCAACCCATCGCTGTCAGGTGCTCTGCTCCCAACCCATCGCTGTCAGGTGCTCTGCTCCCAACCCATTGTCCTCACCTCTCTCTCGCTTTTCAGGTGAACTGCATATGTTGATGGCCATTTGGCATTGCCCTTCACTTATTATGTATGAAACAAAAGAACATGCTGAAGTTATTTTCCTTGTGATTTCTTTCCTCGCTCGATCCCTTGCTCGATCCCTTGCTCCACCCCTTGCTCCACCCCTTGCTCCACCCCTTGCTCCACCCCTTGCTCCACCCCTTGCTCCACCCCTTGCTCCACCCCTTGCTCCACCCCTTGCTCCACCCCTTGCTCCACCCCTTGCTCCACCCCTTGCTCCACCCCTTGCTCCACCCCTTGCTCCACCCCTTGCTCCACCCCTTGCTCCACCCCTTGCTCCACCCCTTGCTCCACCCCTTGCTCCACCCCTTGCTCCACCCCTTGCTCCACCCCTTGCTCCACCCCTTGCTCCACCCCTTGCTCCACCCCTTGCTCCACCCCTTGCTCCACCCCTTGCTCCACCCCTTGCTCCACCCCTTGCTCCACCCCTTGCTCCACCCCTTGCTCCACCCCTTGCTCCACCCCTTGCTCCACCCCTTGCTCCACCCCTTGCTCCACCCCTTGCTCCACCCCTTGCTCCACCCCTTGCTCCACCCCTTGCTCCACCCCTTGCTCCACCCCTTGCTCCACCCCTTGCTCCACCCCTTGCTCCACCCCTTGCTCCACCCCTTGCTCCACCCCTTGCTCCACCCCTTGCTCCACCCCTTGCTCCACCCCTTGCTCCACCCCTTGCTCCACCCCTTGCTCCACCCCTTGCTCCACCCCTTGCTCCACCCCTTGCTCCACCCCTTGCTCCACCCCTTGCTCCACCCCTTGCTCCACCCCTTGCTCCACCCCTTGCTCCACCCCTTGCTCCACCCCTTGCTCCACCCCTTGCTCCACCCCTTGCTCCACCCCTTGCTCCACCCCTTGCTCCACCCCTTGCTCCACCCCTTGCTCCACCCCTTGCTCCACCCCTTGCTCCACCCCTTGCTCCACCCCTTGCTCCACCCCTTGCTCCACCCCTTGCTCCACCCCTTGCTCCACCCCTTGCTCCACCCCTTGCTCCACCCCTTGCTCCACCCCTTGCTCCACCCCTTGCTCCACCCCTTGCTCCACCCCTTGCTCCACCCCTTGCTCCACCCCTTGCTCCACCCCTTGCTCCACCCCTTGCTCCACCCCTTGCTCCACCCCTTGCTCCACCCCTTGCTCCACCCCTTGCTCCACCCCTTGCTCCACCCCTTGCTCCACCCCTTGCTCCACCCCTTGCTCCACCCCTTGCTCCACCCCTTGCTCCACCCCTTGCTCCACCCCTTGCTCCACCCCTTGCTCCACCCCTTGCTCCACCCCTTGCTCCACCCCTTGCTCCACCCCTTGCTCCACCCCTTGCTCCACCCCTTGCTCCACCCCTTGCTCCACCCCTTGCTCCACCCCTTGCTCCACCCCTTGCTCCACCCCTTGCTCCACCCCTTGCTCCACCCCTTGCTCCACCCCTTGCTCCACCCCTTGCTCCACCCCTTGCTCCACCCCTTGCTCCACCCCTTGCTCCACCCCTTGCTCCACCCCTTGCTCCACCCCTTGCTCCACCCCTTGCTCCACCCCTTGCTCCACCCCTTGCTCCACCCCTTGCTCCACCCCTTGCTCCACCCCTTGCTCCACCCCTTGCTCCACCCCTTGCTCCACCCCTTGCTCCACCCCTTGCTCCACCCCTTGCTCCACCCCTTGCTCCACCCCTTGCTCCACCCCTTGCTCCACCCCTTGCTCCACCCCTTGCTCCACCCCTTGCTCCACCCCTTGCTCCACCCCTTGCTCCACCCCTTGCTCCACCCCTTGCTCCACCCCTTGCTCCACCCCTTGCTCCACCCCTTGCTCCACCCCTTGCTCCACCCCTTGCTCCACCCCTTGCTCCACCCCTTGCTCCACCCCTTGCTCCACCCCTTGCTCCACCCCTTGCTCCACCCCTTGCTCCACCCCTTGCTCCACCCCTTGCTCCACCCCTTGCTCCACCCCTTGCTCCACCCCTTGCTCCACCCCTTGCTCCACCCCTTGCTCCACCCCTTGCTCCACCCCTTGCTCCACCCCTTGCTCCACCCCTTGCTCCACCCCTTGCTCCACCCCTTGCTCCACCCCTTGCTCCACCCCTTGCTCCACCCCTTGCTCCACCCCTTGCTCCACCCCCTTTGCTCCACCCCTTGCTCCACCCCTTGCTCCATCCCTTGCCGTGCCGCAGTGTTGAGACGGAGAAGGGAGCCCATGCGGTGAATGAGAGGCGCGCCGCCAATGGGCTCAAGCCACTGGATGTGAGTCATCTGAGCCACTGGATGTGAGTCAAGCCACTGGATGGGAGTCAAGCCACTGGATGTGAGTCAAGCCACTGGATGGGAGTCAAGCCACTGGATGTGAGTCAAGCCACTGGATGTGAGTGATGGGGGGGGTGCGAGTGATGGTGGTGAATGTGAGTGATGGTGGGGGGTGCGAGTGATGGTGGGGGGTGCGAGTGATGGTGGTGGGTGCGAGTGATGGCAGTACTCATGGGGTTGAATGTGCCTGAGTACTCATGCAAGTCATGGCACTTCATTTGTTCGACCCCATGGCGCCCGTGTTGCTCCCATCAGGTGATAGTGGTGCATCTGGTGGACGAGGGCGGCGGGCATGCGGGCATGGACACCAAGATCAGCTCCACTCAGCTCAGGCAGAGGGACAAGCAGCGCCTTCACGCACACTGATGCTGGGTGGTGCGTGGAGAAATGCGAGAGAGGCAGGGAGATGCGAAAGGGGCAAGCTAATCTCTCTCCTGCTTCATGTCCGCCCAACACACTCTCTTCTCACCCATCTCCCTTCCTCCCCATCCCCCCTGGCCCCCTCTCTCACTTCCTTCTCTCTCTCTTTCCCTAGGCAGCAACCCCTGTTGTACAGATTCCGCCCTCACTTTCGTCCCTACTGGAGTGAAGCAGAGTCGATGCCACCTGCTGCTGTGTTCAACTGCTGTGGCCCAAATTTGTAGAGAGCAGGCAGTGAGAGCGTGAGAGCAAGTGGAGGGCACAGGCAGAAGCTAGAGGAGTAGAGAGGAGGACAGCACGGCACCACCACAACTGTCCTTGTGGCTAGTGCACTTGCTTGCAGGACAGTGCGGGTTAGGCATGAGCAATGGGTGAACCCACCCCAGCCCGTCCCAACCCAAGCCGACCCTGGTCGGGTGCCGTGCCGGTCGGGACAGGTCAACCTGACATTGGGTCAAGATTTTTGGGTGGCTGACCCGACCTGAGCTTATAGGGCCGGGTCACCTGTGACCCGAGGGTGGGTCGGTAGTCTGACGAATCGACAATTTCACCCACCGATTCGCGCGGTTTGGCAGATTTCGAGCGCCGATTTGCGCGGGTCGGCAATTTCAGTGGCCCCCGGCAGTATGGGAGGAGGGTTTGGGGGCAAAGGGCAACTAGGGTACCCCTAATGGTTGACTTATGGCTTAGAAATTACCAGATTGTTGGAAGAACCATCTCGACATTCACGTTGCCCAATACCTCCCCATCAGTTGACCGTCGACCACCCCGAACCGCACGTTACCGCATTCTCTCTACTGAAACCAAAATTTCCTCTTCGCCCGTGTGCCTGCTTCCCACGTGTCCCCTGCCTGCCGGCCTCCCATGTATCCCCTGCCTGCCTCCCATGTGTCCCTGTCTGCTGGAACCCTTCCCCTGCTTTCCTCATGAGCTCCGCTGGTTCTACCAGATGCTGAAATCACTAGTTTGGGGAGAAATATCCGTCAAATCAGCCGCGCCAGGAGCAGCAGAGCTGCAGGCAGCGGGCATCATATCCCACAGCAGCACGAGAAGCACGGTGGAGAAGATGTGTTTGCATGCGCACGGGGCGCACTGCCATCGACCTTGAGCAAGGATGTGAGGTTCTGGTTCAGGAAAGATGATTCTATTGAATGATTCACCTGGGTACAAGGCGAGGCTATATATAGGCTCGACACAAAGGCAGTAACCCGGGTGTTACTAGAAGGTTCCGCGGGTCGCGAAGCGTCCCGAACGGGTCCTTCCCGAATTCGGTAGAAGGCAATTCGGTGGCAACCAAAAAGCCTAGAATTCGGTGCACTCAACCTAGTTCGGTGCCTACAACTATAATAACTATAGTAAAGGCAACGAATCTAGGAAATCAAGCAAAAGCATGCATTATAAAATAAAGCTAAGCTAGTAATAACAGAAATAAAGTCCAGGCAAGCTAGCAAAGCCAGCATAAGCCGTCGTACTCTCACACGTCCCCCCCTCAAAGCTGGGTGGGGAGCACAGACTGGAGCACAGAACGTGGCTAAGTCAGGGTAATGGTGCGCTGTGCTCTGTCCCGGGTGATCTGCAAGCCAAGGTAGTTGCGCAGTTCACCCAGGTCTGTGCACGTGTGTCTCTTCTGCAGCTCGGACTTCACGTAGGCAAGTCCAGCAGTGTCAGCTGTAGCAAAGACCAAGTCGTCGACGTACACGAGGATGTAGAACGGCGGCAGCGAAGTGTCGGTGCGCAGAAACAGCGACGGGTCGGCAGTAGAAGGAGCAAACCCAAGAGCCGCAAGTGTAGTCCTCAGTGTGTCGTGCCACTCACGAGGTGCCTGGCGGAGACCGTAGACTGGCCGCCGGAGGCTCCACTGGGTGCCAGGAGGAAAAGTCCCAGTGAAGCCAGGTGGGCGGCGCAGCCAGATCTCCTCGTGCAGGCTGCCCTGCAAGAAAGCAGTGCTGAAGTCAAGAGAGTGCAGCTCGTAGTCTCGGTGAGCGGCTATGTGCAGCAGTACCCGAAGAGTGGTCATCTTCGGGGTGGGAGAGAAGGTCTGAAAGTAGTCAACTCCCTGCCGCTGACTGAAGCCACGAGCCACGTAACGCGCCTTGAAGACAGGCGGAGAACCCGGCGGCCGCTTCACCCTGAAAATCCACATGCCACTGACGATGTTCGCCCCAGGTGGGGGAACCTCGTCAACGTAGGTGCCTGTGGACTTCCAGGAAGCCATCTCTGCGTCCATGGCTGCCTGCCACTGAGAGGAGTAGGGACCCTCTATTGCCTCTGCGTAAGAGCGCGGAGTCGGGATGTCAAGTGCATCCGGGTCTCCCTCAGGGGCAAGCAGCATGGACACGAGATGAGGTGAAGCAGCAGCCAAGCACTGGAACTCCTCCTGCCTGTCCTCAAGGACGTCCGTGCCAAGAGCACACTCACCCCCGACGGACGGAGGACAGACAGACTCAGACTCAGCGACGAGACTGGCAGCGTAGTCTAGGCGACAGCGAGCAGCGAAGTCGACAAGCTCAGCAACCAGGGCAGACGCAGCAGTAGACTCAAAAGAAGGGTCAGTGACGACAGTAGCAAGGAGACGCGTGACAGTAGGACGCGCAGCACGAAGGGAGTCCGACTCAGGGTCAGGAAGGTCAGGAAGAGAGGACGCGGGAGGAGAAGGCAAAGGGGCACGCAGCGGAGCAGTGGAAGGACGCAGAGACATCCGGTGCGTGCCGGGGACAGGGGGAGGACGCTGACGCGAACCACGACCACTAGTGCGAGCAGCACGGACAGGCGACGCAGGGCGAGACGCAGGCTCACGACGCTCAGCAAGACCTCCAGTAGGACCAGTGTAGGGAGAAGGAGAGGGAAGCAGGGAGGCTGGCTGTAACTGTGACTCAGACTGGACAGGAGGCGGACACTCTAAGCCAGGAGCAGGACCAAGAGAGGACGGAAGACCAAGAACCTGCTCAAGGAGCGGAACGAAGTACGGCCGGGGCCGCGCAGCGCCACCAGTGCCAGCAGGAACAGCACCAGCACCCCCAACGGCAGCACCAGCACCAGGAGTACCCCCAGCTCCAGCAGCGCCAACTCCAGCACCCTCAGAAGCACCAGCGCCCGCAGCACCTGCAGTGCTAACACCCTCAGTAGCTCCAGCTCCAGTCGGACCACCAGAAGACGCAGCAGCGGCAGCTCCAGCGCCAGGAGCACCACCAGCTCCAGCAGGAGGAGCACCCGTAGGCCCAGCAGCTCCAGTACACCCTGTACGAGCACCTCTGGGACCCTCTGCACCAGCACCCTCAGCAGCAGCAGAACCTCCAGCGTCCGTAGCACCGCCAGCTCCAGCAGCACGCCTCCAGCGCCGGGCAAACCACTCACGCAGCTCCTGTGGAGAGAGTAGCTCCCGCCGGGACGAAGCACCCGAAGAACCTCCAGGCCCAGCACCACCAGACGCCACACGAGCAGGCCCAGCACCCTCAGGCTCCGCACTCCGAGACACAGCACCCCCAGGCTCAGCACCCCCAGGCGCAGCACCCCCAGGCTCAGCACCCCCAGGCGCAGCACCCCCAGGCTCAGCACCCCCAGGCGCAGCACCCCCAGGCTCAGCACCCCCAGTCGCAGCACCCCCAGACCCAGCACCCCCAGGCTCAGCACCCCCAGCAGCACCAGAGTCAACAGCTACCTCGACAGGCTCGACTGCATCTACCTGGGACACACCTGAGGGAGCAGGACCCTGAGGGGGGAGGGGGTCTACCGGAGGGGGACCTGGCGTAAGGAAGAGCGGCGGGGGAGGGAGGGACGCAGTGCGGTAGGGGAAGAGACGGTAGTAGGGAACCGACTCGTCAAAGGTGACGTCCTGGGAGGACAGAACACGGCGCGAGGTGGGGTGGTAGAACTGCCAGCCTGGCGCAGCCAAGGAAGACGCAGGGAACAGCACGAGAGGACAGCTTGTCCGCAGACAAGTCGCGGACAAACGCCCGAGATCCCCAGACACGGAACGCAGACGCATCGCCAGCCTTCCCCGTCCACAGTAAAGCAGGGGAGGTCTCCGGCATGGAGACCCGGGGGTGAAGGTTGATCTGATGCGCCGCGTACCGAACCGCAAACGGCCACAGAAAATGGGGGGCAGCCGCATGGACCATGGACGTACGAGCGACGTCCATGATCATGCCAATGCGGCGCTCAGCAATCCCATTCTGCTGGGAGATTCCGGAAGCGTGAAGGTCTGGCGGATGCCTCGTGCACGACAGAAGGCCCGCAGAAGGTCAGAGGAGAACTCTCCGCCTCTGTCGGAGTGCAGACGCAGAACAGGAAAGTCCGAGCCGAAACTCTCCCGGAGCTGGAGACGAGCTGCGCGGATCCAGGCGATCAACACCTCAGTGACGTCACCCTTGCTGCGCAAGGGGAAGACTGTGGTGTAACGCGAGTAGTCGTCAACCACCAGCAGGAAGTAACGCTCGTGACCCTGCCCACGGACGCGGGCTGGGCCCCACACGTCCATGTGAAGCGTCTGCAGCGGAGCCTCTGTCGGAGGAAACTCGGAGGAGTGAGGA